TACAAACATGTGAATCACTGTCAAGTAGCGATGATTCAAGGTGGTTGAAAACCCCCAGAGTGTACTCTACATCACCAGTGACACAAACACATGCAAAGGCTTTTCAACTATAAATGAATTGCATTAGTCATCACATTTTTGTCAGCAATTTGTCGAAATTGGAAATATTCACCACATTTCTACCTTGAAACTTTCGAAAAGCTTGACTGATGAGCAAGTTGTTTGACATGCCTTAAATGTAAAAGCTGGAAGCCTTCAATGGCAGCACCGATTTTGATGTGTGTGGTTGTGATGGAGTGTAAGTATTTTAGAATGTTCTTCCTTATGTCCTATTCTTTACAGTTAGTGTTACAATAAGAAAGTCGCGAACATTCTACGGGTGTAAATTAATACCAGCCCACTGGCTGATGGCTTGTGAAATGTAGAAACACTTCACTGGCATAAAACAGTCCTGGTTAAGTCAGTACAGCCATGTGTAAGCCATGAATTTCTCTAACCAATCCAGTGAGGTGCGATCTTGATTGTGATTCATGGCAAGTACTTGTTATAACCATGAAACCCAGTTTACCACCTCCATGGCTTGAAAAGACATTTTGTTCCAAACAGAGTTGGTAGATGTTGCTAGGTGTTGACTCCATAGCTAATGTTGCTAAGTGCTTCTGTGGCAAGATAAGAAAATGGTTTACAGATTGTTGATGATAGATGTTGCTGAGTATAAACACTAATAGCTAATGTTGGTTTTGTGTTTTAATGGCAAAATAAAACTACAGGTTTGTTTAGTGTTAGCCAGAATAACTAATATTATCATCTACGAGGACGAACATATCGGGGTTCATATTTTTCATATGATGCCCTAGGGCAATATATGTCATGGTGACGTGACGTCATGAACAAGGCTATGACGTCACGTTTCTTCTGTGATGTTGCGTTCTACATGCGACGACGGCGGTTAGCCAGCCTGTGTTTGAAAGTAGATTTGGGTATTTTCCTCAATTTGACGACTTCGGTAATAAACAGAATATTATATTCGTGCCTATATCATACTATGTTTACGACACTCGTGCTTAAATATCGGCATATCCCTCACTCTCGCTCGGGAAATACCAGCATTTAGGCACTCATGTCGTAAACATAGTATGACATGGGCACTCATATAATATCCTCTATTAGCTTAATGTTTCTATGATTCTACTTAATTTACTGACTACACTGAACGTCACAGTGATCGTGTCTCAGTACATCCTTGTGTGATTCAGTGTAGCACACTCCTTTACAGCCAGTGTATCAGTGTGTAATCATCTTAAGGAAGATACATGAACAGCCATTGATGGTCTGTCTGTATACCTGTGGTCCTTCATTCATGGGATCTTATCTCTTGAAGTTTGATAGGATTATAACATGTCAACCGATGAGTTGCTTCAACATGTGGAAAGGTTGTCTGTGGAAGTTAATTCCAGATTGGGCTTGGTGAAATGAGGAAGGGGATCTGTGAAAAGGATGTTGTGTTCTGTTCCTCTGGAAACTCAGGAAGTGTGTAAAATAGTCGAACATGTGTGCGACATTTGAAGGTCAAGGGATACAATAAAGAGGTGACAGTGGACACAGGCGGTGTGACAGAGGCGTGTTAGGTCCGCCCAGGAAGGAGGTCATCTGGTGTTATAGTGGTCAGTCAGAACCAACGGTTTGAGGTCACGTGAATGTGAGGGACATTCTCACCTGTGATTGTCAGCTGCTTTGGACGGGTTGACAGTGTTTGACCAGATTCTTCAGGAGTACACTGGGCAGTTGGAATGTCTGGGATTTTACGGTCAGGAGCAATGCTTGGAATCAGGTTGTTCATGTTTCTGACACTATGAATAAGAAAATCTGACAACCTCATTGTTTGATTGTCACTTTAAGTAGGAGCCCTGTGTTGGCATTTGGTGACTTACTTTTGACGGTAACGATACGGGTAATGTATTTAACCTAAAAAGCTCTTAAGAAACACTCTCCAGTACTTACGAAGTGGGTTCTGTTTGGTGAAACCTCAAATGTTCCTGCCATGATGTTTGATAATACACTTTAGAAAATGAGAATAAGAAGTAGGAAGTATCAATATTCCTGCCTCAGTTAGGGGCATGCGTAGACTAATAACTAGTCTCTGAAATGAACATATTTTACAGAAAAAAAAGTTCATAGTGAAAAATAAAATATAATGAAAAGGAGCCCTGAGAAGCTGTGGAAATCTAGACTTGCCACATTTTCTAGACCTGCGTATAGGCTTTCTTGGATATATTTGCTTCAGGGTCTGTATGGCAGACTAGGGCATGTGTGGCCCAATGGGTTAAGGTACCACCCTTCTCTCTGCAGAGTTGCATCCTTTGGGCAGACTGGAAACCTAATACTGAGGGTTCTAATCTTGGTTTGTAAACAATGCATCACTTTGGTTGGTTGGTCGGTTGTTGTTTAAAGCCGCACTGAGCAGTATTACTGCTATATGGCAGCAGTCTGTAAATAATCGAGTCTGGACCAGACAGTCCAGTGATCAAGAACATGAGCATCGATGTGCATCCCTTCCGGATTTCTTCCCACATCAAGCTAACATGCTGTAATGTACCTGGAATAATGTTAACAGCAGAGTCACTCACTCACTATAGCTTCTGCTTAGACTCTGAGCAGGAGTGAGTGAGTTTGGTTTTACGCACGCATAGCAGCATTCCAGCAACATCACGGCAGGGGACACCAGAAATGGGCTTCACACATTGTACCATGTGAACAGGAAGAGTCCTTCCTTTTAAAAGAGGAATGTGACAATGAAACTCAGTGTGTTGAATGATTTTCAAAAGATATGTGAGTTCTACTTTAGTTAACAGTTCATATTAAATGGCAGTGAAAAAATATCGGGATAGACACCCAGATGTAATGTTTGTGGAGACCCAGCACGCAAGCACATCATGTTTGCTCTGTTAAAGTGTTCAACGTTTCACTAATTTAGACTGCAACCTTTCTTTTTCGTCTATTTGTTTTACTTCGTCGTAGAGTGCACAAGAACATGTCTGCACAGAATATACACGAGGCAGGTTGTAAGAAATTCAAGTTTTGCAGGGCACACTGCAGAAGTCAAGTTTCTGGACATACAGAGCCAGTCAGGTTTGCAGGAACAGCCCGTTGACATTCAGCGTTGTACATACAGCAGGAAAACATGAATCATCATTTACAGTATATTTCCATATTGAATAGACGTGTAATAGAACTGAATAAATGAGTAGAATATGTATTTACTGATGAAGCACATTTGTTTGCTAAGAAAACTTTTTTAAAAAAAATACAAATTTTCAAAAACAAGGTGGAATGATACAATACATAGATACAGTAAAACACTTTTGATAAAATGTTTGTAAAAACAAGACAGGTATGTGAGACCTATTTTGGTTCACTAAAGACGGTATCTGTCTGTAACAAAGTTACTCAAAGAATACACAATTGTCCTAATTTCAGAATAGATTAAAAAAATCTAAACACCTCTTGCTTCGAACAGATAACACACATCGATATTACTACTGAAATCCAAGCAAGACAATCAGAGACCTGTGGCACTATGGGCTTTTATGTTGGAGTGCATGTGAAATCCAAGTTATAGCAGATTTAAACTCGACCTCTGTCACTAACTTATTCACTCACTCACTCACTCACTCACTCACTCACTCACTCTCACTCACTCACTCACTCACTCACTCTCTGATCATGACATAGATCATGTCTACACAAGATCAATAACTGTGGTACCTACCTTGTTGAGAGACAATCTGTCAGTTCACAGCTTGGCATGTCTGAGAATCACCCAGGTGATCACAGACGATACACAGATCAGATGGCTTGATGGAGATTAATGATAGGTGCTATTCAAATTAAGCTCTTATTTGTGAGAGAGTTGGCAAGATTCGTGTATGATGAATTGTAGGTAGCATTACATTCTTATCTAACAGAGAGATTTCTCAGTTATCCAGCTAATATTGAAACAGTGTCTATAGGCTCAGTACAGTGTGTTCCAGGACTGGAGCACTGCGGTGGTCAGATTATCTGGTTGAGAATCTTGGTTTGGTTTAGTCATGTACCTTCCTTGATGTTCAAGATACATTTATAGAGTGTTTTTTGAAAGAGTTCTATAAGGGGGAACATTTAGAAGATAAACATACTGTGTTGGAAAATCAGAGGTATGTAACAAAATTATAATGGATCTAAATTTGATTTAAAAACAAATGCGTAGTGTTTTCTTCATATTCACTGCCTCATTTGATAGATATATCAGTGACCTATATACCTGTTTAGATACCTGTGAAGATCTGGGTTAGAATTGATCTTCAGCAACCCATTCTTGTAAGAGGCGACTAGCAGTATGAGGTTATCAAATTTGCTGATTGGTTGACACACGTCATCATATCCCAATTGCGTACATTGATGCATGTGCTGTTGATCACCGGATTGTCTGATCCAGACTTGATTATTCACAGACAGCCGCCATACAGCTGGAATACTGCCGAGTGCGGCTATAACAAACAATATGTTAAGAGTGCATTGAGTGAGTGAGTGAGTTACTCAATGTACTCTTAAGATATTGTTTGTTGAGCCGCAGTCAGCAATATGAAATCATGCTGTGGTAATGATCATCATGGCTATATATTTGACTGAAAAGCCTCTTATTGTCTGTGCAGAGTATCATGTCTCTCTGTTTCCAGTTTGAGTCTTGATGTTATTGTTATGTTGCTTTGTGTACGACCCAGTCATTGTCTCAGTGGGGGGTCATTAACATCCTCATTAGTATGCATCGTGCAGACAGGAAACATTATACAATGAGGGTTAGTCTTGAACTGAACTTGCTACAAGGCAATGAGAGCAGTTGCAAATATAATAACTCACTGTTTCACATCTCTATGTGTCGTTTTAGTATTAATAAGTAAAAAAAGGAAGCAAAAGTCTGTTGCTCTATACAGTATGATTTCAAAGGTGTCTTTTTTTTGCAGGTTTGTGAGTGTGGAGGAAGGGAGGTAACTCCAACTGACAGCATGTCAGGGGGCCCTCTTGAGGTTGAGGCCCTGCAGGGGCAGTTGAAGGTGTTGCTGCAGGGGAAAGGGAAGGAGGCTGACACAGTGTTGAAGAAGCTGGATAAATTTAAGAATGCTGAACAGGTATGGTTGATGTGTGAGGTGTCTGATTTACTGATAGTGCTCTTTCAGAGTGATATGGAATTCAAAGTGGGATTTAATTATTTCTTAAAGTCCTTTGAAGCAGTGAGGAAGCATAGTGATAACCTTTGAGTACTTGATTTTAACACAAGTGTGAAATATATCATAACTGTTTCAAGACTGGTATTGCACCATGGTACATGCACTTTGTCAATTTGTATGTAACTTTTGTCTTGGTGAGTACATTTCTTGTGACAGTATGTTTGCTCATATCCATTTACTCTTCTTTCAGCAAATCATCAACCTGGAATGTACAGCCAAAGAACTTCAATCCAAGGTCATTTCCCTCCAGCAAGAGAAGACAACTCTGGAGGAAATGTTACTCTCCACCCAACAAGCGACAACACCCTCTCCAAACAGGCATGAGTCTGTCGAGGTGCTGGCACTCAAGGTATGGGAGTTGTGTGATCAGAATGAGACTTGCTCGGAACTGGCAAGGTGGCAAGTGGTGTGGTTGATGGAAGGATTAGTGGATAACTCTCCCTCCTATTTCTACCTTTCTTACCTCCTTTTGTTTCTGTTAGTCTGCAGGCACTTATTCAACAGTGCAAAGACTTATAACATGCTGTTGTGCAATATTCCACCTTCTTCACTTTATGTAACAGTTGAACTAACTATCTGTCTTCCTTATTTCACCATTATCCCACTCACATCTTTAAAGTCTTAGCTAATCATATGCTAACCACATTGCATGAGACATTGTTAACCTCAGTTTATAGGACTTACACCTTTTCTTTGGAAATTGTCTGATATGTTTCCTATATAATTGGCCTTTGATAAATTCTTTGTGATTTTTTTTTTTAAACAAAATGAATCTGCCAAAATGTATATTCTAAAAATTGTCAATACCAAATGAAACCTCTCAGAGAGTTTATTCGTCCAGTTTTTATTGTTAGTATTTTACATAAATATTTTAATAATATTTTCTAGAGAAAGAAAAGACACTTCATTACTTTAAGAGTTCCACAGATAAACTACATGGTATAAATCAGGTCACTGAAAATTCATGAAGAAATTTATTTTTTTTATACCTGATTCTTAGGCTATATGGATTGTTGTATATTAAATCCTCAGCCCTACTAACAATGTAGAATTCAAACAAAACATTAATTGCATGAATGAAAAATGTATAAATGTATATAAAGTATAACATGTAGAAATATTCTCAAAATACTAATCAAGTGCCCTGCAAAGAATTAATCTATCTTAACACTTACCCCATTATTCTCCAGTTTTATTGAACTGAAATTGACCGTGTGGCAACTGGATTTAGACCATGGTTTGCAGTGAACACTTAACTGCATGAAAATGATAAATTGTCTGTTGTAAAATGTTTAAATATCATCTTTAGTGGATCAGTCATGTATTGAAAATCAGTTCAATAATGTTGATATTATGTTTCACAAACAACAAATATGGAAATTATTTAAGCTTTGCACATTATGTATATTCCTTTCAAATTATTTGCATAATATAACTCACTGCTGTTTTTAACTGTCTGTTCTAGTTTTGTTCTATCTTATTCCACTGTTTATGGAGGGAGAGTCGTGAGAGGATGGCCATCATGTATGTACAGTAGATGTCATTTTATGTTTGCATAACAACTTTTCAGGATCAGCTTCTATTCCACGAAAAGTCGGAGGTAGAGCTTATGGAGAAGAACATTAAGCTCCAGACAAAGTTGGATGAATGTGAAGGTCAGAACTGCAAACTGCTGAGGAGGATTGATGAGCTGGAGGATAAGGTCATCAAACTGCAGACAAAGCATGGGAAACCCATGAACAGAACTGACAGTGAGAAGGAGAAGTTTCATGAGAAGCTGATTCGGACCAATTCCACTGGGTCTGATAGTCCGAGTAGAAGGGACAAGTACTCACAGACAAACACCAAGATGCTGGATAAAAGTGTAACTGCCAAATATGACGAACTTGTTAAACACACTGAAGCTGATTTTGATATCCTGGACCAAAAGATGCAGGTTTTGTATGAGGAAAATATGTCTCTTCAACAAAAACTTGTTGAGAAGAAAATAATTGATGAAGAGTCGGACAAGAGTTTGGACATGTCATATGATAGTCGGTTAGCAGAAATGGAAGAATACTGTGAAGATTTGCAGGATCGCCTTCACACTGCAGAAATGTCAGAAAGACAGTTACGAGAAAAGCTGAAACTGGCGGAATACACCATCAATGACCTTGAGAGTAGTGAGAACTATTGTAGAGAAAAGGTGGAGGAGTTGACCAATCGAGAAAGTGAGGCGAAAAGGCAGACTAGCCAACTGTACCAGACAGTACAGGAACTGAAAGAGATCGTACTGGACAAAGATGTTATTGAAACAGCGTTACGCGAGAAGGTAAAACATGGCCGCTTGAAAGGCATCATGGGAATGGATTGTTACTATCTGCAATGCCGATCGTGTTGACTGCTGGTGGAGACCTTGACCTTGTAGATTTTAGTCCTATCCATCACCCAGTTTCTGTGTCCTGTTGCATCATGGGATTGAAGTTGATTAACGATCATTGATTTGTGCAGAAATGTGTTTAACTAATCGTATAGTTTAGTCTAACAGCGTTCACAATCACAGCAATGATATTGTATTGTTGTCTTTAAATATCATGCTTGTAACATGTTATTGACAAATGCAGTCAGTAAATAATTTGTGTATAAACAGCATTGAGGGTTAGACAAAAGATCCAAAGCATGATGAATCAATGTAGGAGTTGTTTCCCTTTATCACTCAAATACCTGTGAAGTTATTTTCCTTTAACACTAAGAAAACAAAACCAGATATTTCTGTATATCACTCTAGAACCTGTGTTTGTATATCTGCATTTGTTGCTTCTCTCAATTCCCTCTGTTTTCCTGTTGCATTGATTAGGATAAAATGACAATTTTCCATGAAATGGAAATGGATTAGTTTGTGCATCATTATTAATCCTCACAGAGTAATCGCTGTGAGGACGTGCGTCTTGTGTTGTTCAGCTTGTGTTGGTTGTATGGGTTAAGATACGTCATACTAAAACATCAGGCGGAATGCCCTTTGTGTGTTGGGTCGTTTGGGTCCTGTTTCTGGTGATGCATGAAGGAGAAGCGTAGAGAGGTTAATGTAAAAGTTGGACTGGATTTACAGCATGTTCTTAGTTTACGAAACTAGATTGATGTGAAGGGATCTGAGTGAGTATCCATCCCTTCTTCATAGAGGCTGATGCAGGCTTCAAGCATTTATGATTGAATGCAGGCATGATACCATCTCTAATAAGTGCTTCAGTAAATTCTTTCGAGATCATATCTGTTTGTATCATGAAGTGATCACTTCAGTTATGAAATATACGGTTAAGAGGTGAAATTGTAAATAGCATGAAAAGATTAAAATAATTCCGTAAATTGAAAGATTGCATGTTGCTTATTTTGTTATTTTACATTTCAGAGCAAATGCATTGCTGTTAAAAATCAGATGCCCACATTTTGGTTTTGCTTCAAACAGTGTTTTGTGGTTAAAGTCTTGAACAAGTTGCATGACAACAGATTCTAGATCCGCATGTTTGAAAGAAAATGATTTCATGTTGATCATATGGATAAAGACAGGGTGACATAAATCCTGTATCATGTTTTCTAGGGCATCCCATCATGCTTCTGTACTTGAAGAAGGCTTCTTGATACCTGTGACTTTTATGTCCCTGATGTTTCTTTGTTGTTAACATGTGTTGTCATGTAAACATCTGTATTTCTGTTATCGGAGGTTATTGATTTTAGAAATAAAATTTACATTCATTTTGTCATTTCACATTATATTCCAGTCATTACAAATATTACCAGTACAGTGCCCATATATCACCACTGTGCTGATGTTGTAATGAAGTTGCCTAGCAACAGTTTCCTTGTTACAATATAATAAACATTTAACAAAAACTACATGCTTTTCATACATTCGTGATAATGATGATGTCAGCTTGATTTTTCTTCATTAGCCATTATGATGATATCCCACTGTGTTACCTTATCTATTCATAACAGCATTGTTACCTTGTCTTTACAGGTGGACTTTCTGGAGAAGGCAGAACTGGCCTCAGCCCAAATCATTCATGAACTACAGAATACAGAAAAGAGTCTTCGGCATCAGTTGGAGCTGAAGTCAGACATTGAGGGTGATGTTAAGTTTGCTGAGCGTCTGAAAGGCCGCATAAGTGTGTTAGAGAGAGACAACAAGAAGCTGAGCGTGAAGGTGTCGGAGTTGGAAGAGGATGAGGAGGTGTTGAGGGAGAACTGGAGGAGGGTGGCGGATGAGGATGCCAACAGAATCGAGTGTCTGGAAGAGAAGGTGAAAATGTTGGAAGCCATGAACAAACAGCTCAAAAATAGTCTTCAGGATGCACAAGACAATGTGTACATTCATAATAATGTTCCTCAGTCTTCCTCCTTAGCTACTGAGTTGTCCGAGTCAGAAAAGAATAATGGTGAATTGACTATGGCTAAAAGGTCTTTCTCAACTCCATATCTCCATTCCGCGGGCTATGAGGTGTCGATGCCCCAAAGGTCCCTTTCACAGAGGGATTTGGACTTCATTACCGAAACTGAAGGGTTTGAAAAGATACAAGAATTAGAGGAACAGATAAATAATATTGTAGAGGATAAGAATTCCAAAATTGAAAATTTGCATGAAAAGATTGCCAATTTGCACGACAACGAAGTGAAACTGACTGAAACGCTAATGGAAATGGAACACGAGGAACGAGAACTGAAAGCAAAGATTGCCCTGTATGAGAGCAAGGCAGTTACAGTGGAGAAGATGCTTCAGTATGAAGACAAGATAATGGAGCTCCATAGTTCTCAGGAGAACCTTCTGGATAGACTTGAGTCATTGGAAGATCATGAGATGACTCTTCAGGAAAAACTTGACCGAGCAGAACAGCAGGCCAAGATCAAAGTTGGGACCCTTGAGAAACAGCTAAAGAATGTACATGCTCAGTTGGAGCAGGCTAAAACGAGAGGGGAGGAACTTGTGAAGGAGAAGGAGTTCCTCAAGAAGCAGATTGACAAACTGGAGAACAAGATCAGACTGTATGTGAAAAAGGGAGAAGAAGCAAAGGAAAAGGTTACTGAGTTGAGTGGACAGATTAGTGTGTATGAACAGAGAGAGGAGTATGCTTCAGGGAAACTGAAAGAGATGGAGGAGACTTTGAGTGCAATTCAGCAGAGAGAGGAAGGTATGAAAGCTAAAATTGCTGAACTTGAGGGTGAGATTGAAGTTCTGAATCAGAGGGAGGAGAAAGCAAAAGCCAAATTGGTTGGAATGAAAGATGACATGAAGAAACTTGAACAGAAGGGTTCACATTCCTCTGCTAGAATTGCAGAGCTTGAAAAGCATGAGAAGGAACTGATGGAGAAAGTGTCTCAATATTCTAAGAGAGATTCCACATCAAAACAAAGGATTTCTGAGTTGGAGAGTCAGATGAGTAAGAGTGTTTCTAAATGTGGTGTGTTAGAAAGAGAGTTGACAGAAGCACAAGAGAATGAAATTGCTAGATTAGGAACAATACAAAATATGGAAAAAGCCCAAACTGAACTGAGTGAATCTTTGAAAAAAATGCGTGTATGTGAAGAAATATGTGCAACAGATCTCAACCCTGGAACAAACAAAGTCTCTGGCTGTAACCGAGCTTGAGAAAGAAAAACATGAACTGTTGGAGAAAATTAAGAAATTAGAGATGAGTGTGCGAGAACAGGTAGGAAGTGTTAAATATTTAGAACAGAAACTCTCACAATCTCAGGGATGTGAACGGACAGGTGCTGAGAAAATGTCATCCTTAGAGACGACACTTGCAGAGTATGAGGAAATTGTTGTGAGGAAAACAACAGAAGTTACTGAATTACAGAAAGAAAAGTTGGAACTGTCCAAGAAGGTCAGTGATCTTGCAAATGAAAGTGATCAGCTGGAAGAAGAAAAGATAGAACTGAAGGACCAAGTGTGGAATCTTCAGCAGGATAAGAAGTTCCTTGAAAATCAGTTGGATGAGTTTACAGGGAAGGAAGATGGACAGAAGAAGGTTCTAGAATCCTTGAGAGCTTCTCTGAGTCAACTTCAAGAGACAAATAAAGACTATGAGAGCCAAGTTCAGACATTGTCTTGTGACGTTGAATCTTTTGAAAAGAAGAATAAAAACCATTCTTCTGAAATAGACCAAGTGTTGTCTCAGAAACGTGAACTGGAAAAGAACATTCAGAATTTGTCGGAACAAGTTGCTTCTTTGGGAAAGGAAAACCAGGATCTCAGGACTCAAATTTTAGATATTTCATCAGAAAAAGAAGAAATTCAGTCATCTTTGGACAGGTTGACATGTGATATTGACTTCTTGAATGGTTTAGTAGGGGATCTCAAATTCAGTGTGAAAACCTTGGAAAATGAGAAATCTGAACTTAAATCTGAATGTGAAACTGCTGAGACCGAATGTTATGATCTCAAACAAAAACTATCTGCCTCAAAATCATTTGATGAGCAGTCTGAGAAAAAACAACAACTTATGTCTCAAGATATGGAAACGCTTGAAAATGCCAAGAAAGAACTCCTGAAAAGTGTTCTTTCTTTGGAAAATGAGAAACATAATATCTTGGCAGAACTTGAAAAGAGGAAGAGTGAATGTGAAAGTGCTAAAGTGAAACTGAATGAAAGTTGTGAAAATGAAAAGAATCTCAGGGACAAATTGACAGTGTCAGAAGAGAAGCTGTTGAGCCATCAGAAAAGAGAAAAGGAGTTGGAAGATGAAGTCTCTCAGCTGAAGTCAATTCAGTCAGAGCTCAAGTCTGAAAACTCAAGCCTGGAGAAGGTTGAAGAAGTTGTGAAGGAGAGAGATGAGTTGCAGGAACAACTGCACTTGCTTCACCATGAGCAGGGCAAGATGAGTCTGAAAATGGAAGTGTTGCAGGATGCCGAGACTAAGCTGATGGACAGGGTCATGGAACTAGAGCAGGTGGAACAAGAGCTGAATGACCAACTAGAGACCAGCTCCAGACTCTCAAGAGAAGGAACTTTATGTTCTGAGACATCTACCATCACTGATGTGTCCTCTAAACCGGACATGTCAGACCAGTCAACATCAACCTGTGATCTGACAGGTACTGATAAACCAGAACCTGTTAAGAAGGTATCTGGAATTTTCCAAAGACTTCAGGAGCTGGAGACTGAGAACAAGGACATGTCCATGAAGCTGCAGGATTATGAAAGTGCTACAACTCAGGCAAAGCAGATGAAGGAAAAAGTGAAGCTGTTGGAACTATCAGAAGACAAACTGATGGAACGTGTTATGGAATTGGAACAGTGTGAAGATAGGTTGAAAGGTGAAGTTCAGAAATTGAGGAGTAGTTCAAGTGTTGATGAGAGTAATAGTGAGAGAGAGGGTATGAGACGAGCTTCAACTGGTGCTGAATCTGATACCTCAGCTTTGATTACTTATGTTGAACAGTTAAAGGAAGATAAAGCAAATATTGAAACTCTGTTAGATGAAGAGAAGCTAAATGTGGAAAAAATAGTAGAAGAGAAAATGATTCTTCAGGAGGAACTTTTACATTTGACCGAGAGTGTTAAGGAAGAGAAACAGACATTGGAAGATAAGGTGAAGTCATTGGAAAGATTGCATCAAAAGGAACAGTTCAAGGTTGACTCTCTGCAGAGTTCAGAGTTTGTTTTGAAAAAGGATCTGGAGGCCCTGAAACATGAGAAGAAGAGTGTTGAGGATGAGATGAATGATCTGCAGAGTCAGGTCATTGACTTTCAAACTCAAATTGTCGACCTGGAGAATCAGCTTCAGGAAGAACGCCACATGGTGGAAATTGTCAATGATAAAAAGATCAGCTTAGAGGAAAAACTTCAAAGTTTTGAGGAAACAGTCTCCCAACAACAACACCTGTCAAAAACATATGCCAGTGTTGAGGATCGCCTGCTGAAGTCCAAGACAGAGGAGTCTAGTGTGTTGAAAGATTTGGAGAAGGAGTTGAGGACAACTCAGGGAAAGCTAGAGGAAGTGCAGGTTGAATATGAGAAGAAGATCTCAGATCTTCAGGCTCAACATCAAGTTCTAGAGCAGAGTGAGAAACATGTGAAAAGTGCTATCAATGTCAATGTTCAGAAAGAACAGGAACTTCAAGAGCAAATAGAAACTCTACAAATTGAGATTAGTGAAATCTGTGATAAATCAAAACAGCTTGAAGACAGAGTTTCTGTGCTTCAGTCTGAAAATTCTAGTCTTGTGCTTAAATGTGACAGTCTTACCAAAGACAATGAAAAGTTGTGTGAATCTGTAAAGAACCTCAGACAAGAGTCTGACCCAAAGAAGAAAAGTACCACCCACCACCCAGTCTTGCCAAAAATCACCTCCCTTGCCACCGCCTCACCTCGTACTAAAGACATTCTGAAGAAACCTCTTCCATTTGGTGCAAACAAATCAGTGCAATTTCTCAGGGAAAAAGACCTTCAAAGTCAAGTGACCGCTTTAGAATCCAAACAGAAGGAACTGTTGGACACTATTGGTAAACTCGAAAGAGAAAATGCCAAGCTGAAGGAAGGTCCATCCTATACCTCAACGTCCACACTGTACCTGACTCCAGCCAGTAAGAAGTACGGAAGCTCACGGTACTCGGGGACAAAGGAGTCCTCTAGCGAGGAGCTGCTGCAGAAGGTGCATCTGCTGGAGCAGGAGAAGGAACAGGGGCGACAGAAGGTGGAGGAGTTGGAGAAATACATCACAGCATTCAAGGCTGAAGTCACAAACCTGAGGGATTTCATTGTTGAGGGGGAGAAAAAGGCGACAGATACATTCCATATTAAACCCAAACCAGTGAGTATTGTTTGATCAGTGAAATGATGTATTTTTTGTGATCCATATAGTGATTCCTTTTTGGAATTGATCCCCATTGGGCCATTAAGGGCAGCTTATGAACTTGGTTGATATTGTGACATTGTACCCTGATGACATGGATCGGAGCTCACAATATCAGTCACTTCTTTGTGTCATTAAGACAAGAAGGGTTTTGTTTCTTCTATGTTTAGTACATGGGCTCTAGTCCACAAGACAGTCTTTTCATTGTGATCAATGTCAGACTCTTTTAGAATAAAAGGACAATGTCAGTCAAAGTGCTAATATGATAAGCTGGAATTTAGTCTTGGACCTGAATTTGTCAAGCTATGGTTTGCTGTAGCTGTTTATTAGAATTACTAAAGTATGGGAGTCACAGTGGTAAGATTGCCTCTTGAAACATAGCCGAAAGCCCTACAACTGTAGCAAGACTTTCTTAAAATATAGAAGTTACAATTGTCATAACATTACAATTGCTTTGGGCAATTGTACTGTAGTCTCATACAGTTTCAGGAACTTTGTGAGGTAATATATAAATGATCCACTTATATAATTAGTTTACATCATGTTTGTTGCGTATCACTGTTTGCTGATGTAAGGGATAGTCTGAAGCATGTTTTGTGATGTTGCAATTAAACTGCCTGTGTTGATTTTGTAGATGTCGCCTTCAGTGTCCCTGCACCATGTGGCAGAAATCTCAAATCTAGAAGTTGAATTACGACGGAAGATGGCCGAGATACAACACCGAGAACAGACCCTCAGGTAGGAGCAGTGCAGTACATGCAATACTTGTTATATGTAGTAGTTTGTGAATGTCCAGAGTTCCACTGCTGAGGAGGAGCTGTTGATGTTGAGGACTTGTTATATACAGGTCCTATATTGGTTATGACCACCCTTATGTACAGGTGCTATATTGGCTGTGATCACCTTATGTACAGGTCCTATATTGGCTGTGACCACCCGTATGTACTAGGTCCTATGTAGGCTGTGACCACCCTTATGTACAGGTCCTATGTAGGGTGTGACCACCCTTACGTCCTATATTGGCCCTTATGTGACCACCCTATGTACAGGCTGTGACCATCCTTATGTACAGGTCCTATGTAGGGTGTGACCACCCTTATGTACAGGTCCCATGTAGGCTGTGACCACCCTTATGTACAGGTCCTATGTAGGGTGTGACCACCCTTATGTACAGGTCCCACCCTATGTAGGCTGTGACCACCCTTATGTACAGGTCCTATGTAGGGTGTGACCACCCTTATGTACAGGTCCCATGTAGGCTGTGACCACCCTTATGTACAGGTCCTATGTAGGGTGTGACCACCCTTACGTACAGGCCCTATGTAGGCTGTGACCACCCTTATGTACAGGTCCTATATTGGTTGTGACCACCCTTATGTACAGGTCCTATATTGGCCATGACCACCCTTATGTACAGGTCCTATATTAGCTGTTATCACGCACCCTGTGTACAGATCCTATACAAGTTGGATAGCCTAGTGGTAAAAGTGTTCGCTCATCACGCCGTAGACCCGGGTTCGATTCTCCACATGGGTACAATGTGTGGAGCCCATTTCTGTTGTCCCCTGCCATGATATTGCTAGAATATTGCTAAAAATAGCGGTGTAAAACCAAACTCACTCACTCACTATACGAGTGCAGACACATCAGTTGTTCATGTGGTATTGTGACTGCATTATTACATTGTTCATCACATGATATCATTCCATACTACATTATTACATTGTTCATCTCATTATATCATTCCATACTACATTATTACATTGTTCATCTCGTGATATCATTCCATACTACATTATTACATTGTTCATCTCGTGATATCATTCCATACTACATTATTACATTGTTCATCTTGTTCATCTCGTGATATCATTCCATACTACATTATTACATTGTTCATCTTGTGATATCATTCCATACTACATTATTACATTGTTCATCTCGTGATATCATTCCATACTACATTATTACATTGTTCATCTCATGATATCATTCCATACTACATTATTACATTGTTCATCTCGTGATATCATTCCATACTACATTATTACATTGTTCATCTTGTTCATCTCGTGATATCATTCCATACTACATTATTACATTGTTCATCTTGTGATATCATTCCATACTACATTATTACATTGTTCATCTCGTGATATCATTCCATACTACATTATTACATTGTTCATCTCATGATATCATTCCATACTACATTATTACATTGTTCATCTCGTGATATCATTCCATACTACATTATTACATTGTTCATCTTGTTCATCTCGTGATATCATTCCATACTACATTATTACATTGTTCATCTCGTGATATCATTCCATACTACATTATTACATTGTTCATCTTGTGATATCATTCCATACTACATTATTACATTGTTCATCTCATGACATCATTCCATACACAATGGAAGACAATCATCACTTGCTATGATTATAACGATCACATTGATATCAATACTGAAGATACCTTCTGTTTGAGATGACAATTAAGACTGTTTGAAGTTGGTTGGTTAGTTTATTGTGTTAACCTTGCACACCATAGCAAAATTGATATTTGATAGAATAAGCAATATTGATTTATTATTCCAACAACAATGAAATATTTTATGTGAAACAGGTTAAATTGATGCATGTGTGTTACATCCCTAGCTTCGTAATACATGTAGTATTTGTACTATTTTCCTGTAATTTTACCTGTGATGTTAAGGGCTACTTATATTTTGTGTTATATTGCTACTTGAGACAAATAAGGTTACCTGTGATGTTGAGGACTACCTGTGGCTGTTACAACTGATATTTGGGGTTACCTGTGCTTTATATGGCTACTTGAGACAAATAAGGTTGCCTGTGATGTTGAGGACTACCTGTGGCAGTTACAACTGATATTTGGGGTTACCTGTGCTTTATATGGCTACTTGAGACAAATAAGGTTACCTGTGATGTTGAGGACTACCTGTGGCATTTACAACTGATATTTGGGGTTACCTGTGCTATATAGAGTTCCTGTGAAATTGCTTGTGATATTGAGTGATGTCTGCTTGTTTGTTTCTGGAAAATGTGTGACAGAATACAACAGTATTATACAGCTTAGGGAACTAGCTTCATGAAAACTGTCATCAAATGTTATATAAACGTACTGTTGCACAAACAAAACTAAACTAAATTCTTGATATCAGTTGCAAAAGAAACATGTTGTTGAGTCTTATATATCAGGAGGAGGTCGGTGGGGTAGCCTAGTGGTTAAAGTGTTCGCTTGTCACGCCGAAGGCCCGGGTTCGATTCCCTACATGGGTACAATGTGTGAAGCCCATTTCTGATGTCTCCTGCTGGGATATTGCTGGAATATTGTGGTGTAAAACCACACTCACTCACTCACTGAAATGTGAGGAACAGTTAAAGAGTAGTTGCCCGTAATAGGTTTCAAGGTGCAAGATATAGCCCTAAACCCTGTGCCGATGTCAACATAACGTCTAAGACGATTTTTAACAGGAGTATAACAGTTGTAGTTGTAGAGATCGCTCCTAAACATCATTACAAGCAATAAATATCCTGAAACAAGCTTTGATAAGCAACAAAGAAGTTATTATCAATAAAAGGTTTCATGTCTAATGCTAGGATCTAGGTTTTTAAAAGGATTAAGCCTTAACTAAAATTCAGGCTTTTATTCCCTTTCACTCAGTACTGACTGACTGGGCCCTTGGACTTGAAAAACTTTGAGGAAATGGAAACACTTTCTTTGCATATTACCTTATGTTTTCAATGTTATTTCGAAATATTTAAGTTTTTCTTTGCCTTGAGATTAATATATTTTAGATTCTTTGAGCTAAGTGGGCATTGAGTAGTAATCAGCTGTCAAAATGATAGCTTCATTTGTTTTTATGCAGTGAGCTTTCTGTTCTGATCTCTGACCTAAATTCCACTACCTGTTTCCCCCATAAAGAATAATGAACTAGCACCATGACAACAATCTTCACAGGTAACTGATGATCGAAAAGATTAGCCAGATAGATCAATCTGCCGATAGGGGTGTCAGGTTGTTTTGACAGAATAATCTTGGATCATACCCAGGATTAATCTGTCAATCCCTGTGTGTATGAGGTTGCAGTTACAGCTGTATTTGGGTCAGTTTCAACACAGTTGTTCCACTTGATTTAACGAGTGTTACCTGAAGACCTGTGTTTGTTCCGTGTAGTCTCGAAAGACAGGTAGGTCAGGTGAAGGCGATGTTTGCTTTGGCTATTGTATTTTCATCCAGGTGAATTGACGATCTTGACTTGATGTCGTTAGACACCTGTCCGCATGTTTCTACCTGTTTGGGGATCTTGGATCTCGGCATTCCATAGCTATTCAGATTGTCATCCAGTCATGCTTGGCTTTGAAAAGTGAATTGAGGGAAATGTGACATGGTTATCAACTGTGATTACTAAATGCAGTGCAGTGATCGTTTTGTCATTCATCTGTGGTGTCACTTTGGATTTACTGGTTCATTGTGGGGTAGGTTTTTGATATGCCGAGATGTCAGCTTATTCTGTTTATGGCTTAAGTCTCACATTTTACAGTTCAACTTCATGTGTGTTAAAACAAATCAACACTATTACACTTCTGGTTGTTCACAGAAATCACATGTCATCTATAAACTCTTGTCTACTCAAGGCTTACTCTACTCTAAATGTACTGGGAATTTTGATAATCCAGCTATTGTAACTGATTGCCACAGAATCAATAAGCCTATTTCCATCATTTTCACAGAGCTAAAATATTCTTGCTGTTGACTTAATTAACTTGTGCTAACACTTGAAGGTGTTTGTTTATGAGAGGAGTGTTGTCAGTATGCTGATATGAAATAATAGGGTCTGTTTGCATGCTGTTACCTGCGTTGTCTCGCTCACTCAAGGTATGCCAGTGAAAAGGGCGGTGACTATCACGGCATGTGTTTCTTGGCATTGATTATCTCACGAGGACCACTTTAAGCCGGCCTCCTTCAGATCTGGCGATCCGTGATGAATCAATGCCCATCACAGGTGCCTCGTTCAGCAGTGGAGCAGAGATTGATACACTGTGGCAGGAATATTATGATTATTATTGTGTGTTTGGAGACTAATAGTATGATATGTCCTCTTTTGTTTAGCATGTAGGTTACAGCTTATTGACATTTAAGCGTATTTGTATCAGTAAATTCATTAAATTTTTGGCATACTTGGATATTGGTTTCTCAGTCTCTTTAAAGTGAAGGGTGTTTAGCAACATTTATATATGCCATCAATTTAGTCCTTGTAGCTTATCAATGACGACCAGCATTACTGGGTGAGGTTTACATAATTTGCTGATTTTGCTCTTGATATGAGACCAGTCACTAGATCACAAAACTGATGTTGATAATTAAAAAACAACACATTTTGACATTCATATGATTTTTACGAGATTTTGTCCCTGGGAAACATCTGGGACTACCACAGCCCAAATAAGTGTTTTTTTCTGATCATTTAGACATTTTAATCTTGAACGCAAGGAATTGTTCATGTTTGGCTGTATGCCTGTGAACCTATATCTTCACTGTGAGGCTTGATGGTGAACTGAACAAAGACATCTACCCCACAGACTCTGTGTCTGGTAGTATCAGTCAAAAGCACTGTACAACTGTCTATGAAGTTACCTCTCTACCTACCAAGTGGAGTCCATTCTTACATGTTGACATTTAGGTTACATTAGCTCTGTCTTAATTGTGAACTGTACACAGGGGAAGAAGGCCAAGTTTCTATATTCCTGCTGTGACCATAGCTATGGCTAAGTGTAGACTCTGATATATGTACTAGCTTCTATACATAGAGAAGCAGCTGTCTATACATGGGGTAGCCTGCCTTCCCCACTCCAGAGAATAGATTAAAAAATGAGCTTAGAACTTATGTCTAGAATGATTGGACAAGTCTATATTTTATTATTATTATTTTTAGATATGTATTTGTCAAAAAGATAACTGTATTACGAGTAGTGTTGGGAATTGGTTGAAATCTCACAATTGATGATTGCTTCATTACCAACGAACAATCATCGAAAAAGATTGGTTAGCGTCATTTTTCAGATTTTCCTATCAGGGTTGTTACTGCAGAAAAGTATAACATGATGCAACTTGTTACTTTAAAGTGAAGACTAATATATCATGAACATAAACTTCCCGAAGTCTTTAAGAAATATTTAGTCATGGCTTTTCAGTTAGTGAAGTGAGTTTTCTAAGAATTAAACACGTTTTCAGGCCCTGACACTTCAACGATATGTTCCATTGTCAAGTATTTTAAAGACTAAAACAGTAGTTCCAAAATCGTTTATGTTCGATTATGAGAAAATGTGATCGATTGCTTGGTCGTTTGGTCACTGCGACCAATCTTTGATTATTTCAATTAATCGGAACACCACTAATTACGAGGTCTACCTGTCAGTTTAAAGTGTAAAACAGGTAAAAGTGTTTGTGTCTGTGATCTGCTCCGAAGTCAATCCTTTACGATCAGCACGAGATTGGTAGAGACCAATTCTAACAACAATCCCGAAATATTGTAGCTGATAATATACATGTATGATATTCTTACAGCACCGCTAATATTGTTGTATTATGCACATAATTATGGTCACATGATGTTGGACATAAAACTACTTGTATTACAGACAGGATGTTGATGGATTGGTTTTCAGTGGCAGGAAATGTAGAATACAACACTAACGCGATAGTTGCCTGTCAACTACTTATTGATCATACCTGGCGTGAGGTGAATCGCAACAACATCCCTCACCTATATGCACTCATATGCAGATTGGCTGCCTAGGGTAGGGACAGAGGCAGACACAGGAAAGTTACAATAGACTAGAGGGTTATGTTGTCGGAAAGGTATGTCTCCAGTGAATGAGTGAGTTAGTTGGGTTTTATGCCGCTTTTAGCAATATTCCAGCAATATCATGGCGGGGGACACCAGAATTGGGCTTCACACATTGTACCCATGTGGGGAATTGAACCCGTCTGACAAACGAACGCCTTAACCACTAGGCTACCCCATGCCCCTCTCCAGTGAATGAGTGGGATCTAATATTTGGAGCTGGTATCTTGGTACTTTAACCTGTAGTTTAGCAATAAAGTGATATGGGTTGATGTCATATTTCTTACATCTGCCTTTGGTCAGCGGTTTGTTGGCCTACAACAATAGGAGATGAAGTAGTGCGGTATAATTATATTGTGACGTGCATGTGTATTGAGATGTGTGTGTGTGTGCGTGCGTGTGTCCCAGTACTATTGTCACAGTCTACTCTATCAGCCCCTACCATGTTTAACATGGATACCCCACTCAGACACAGTATACCCACTCCGAGTGGACCAGTCCTTCCTTTATCCCCATTATGCTGAAAGCCATGCATAGAAACCAAATACCATCTTTTTATGTCTTTTGGCATGATAAGGTCAGGGATCGAAACACTGAGGTTCAGCTCTCATTGCAGATGTTCTATCCTCTGGGCAGCAGAGTTGGTCCATGTTAGTACTAAGTCTGTGGGAATGTGAGCGTTCAGCGAAGTATCTGTTGGACGATCAAGGCGGGAGTGCCTCCTGTCTGTTGGCACATGCATTATTGATTGATCACGACATGGTTTTTCCACCTGGAGTAATCAACCCTGGTAGTTTGATTGTAGTACCTAATGAATTTCCTGCTCGAACGTCCGCTGGGCACACTCAGAATTGACGAATGGATGGAGAGGTCTGATGGTGTATGCTCATTGATGTCATGTCAAAGTTAATGGGAACAAGTTAGTGAACATTGACTGTTGTATCATCTGTTTAGAAGTGCTGATAGATAATGCTGATGGAGATTTGTTTATGTTATGGTCAGTGGGAAGGGCCGATTGTGTTAGTCTTGGTTTGTCTGTTGACAGTGTTTGTTTTGATGGAAGAAGTCTCGGGGCTGAGTATCACAGACTTCATGGGTTAATGTGTGAGTCAAAATTGTATGTCCCGTTGGCATTATTTCAGGGCTATTTTTGACTTGATCAAAGTTAACATTTATGTAACAGTTCACAGCAGAATAGATCTCCATGCTTGTAAGTGGACACAGCAGGGTTATTAAAGTGCTCCTGTCTTGTCACCAGTGTGCCACATCATAGCTTGTTAAGGTTATCAACCACTGGTGTTTGAGCCCAGCCATGATCATTTACAGTCTACCTTTAAACAGTTGAACTAGGACTTACACAGTTGAACTACAGTCACAGAAACACATCCATTCTGATGTATGCCCATCTTCAGGACATTTTTACACTTGCATCACTTTGGGCTTGCCTTCCACGTCAAGCTGACCTATCACAGAGAACTGGAACACTGTTAATAGAGGTGTTTAACCCAGCTCGCTCAGTTACACATGTGTCACGTGTAAATAGTAGTAATGTTTCTTTATCAACAAGAAATATTCTTCAGGTGTGTGATATCATTGTTACAGGAACTGACTGCAATATCCCTCTCAGCCTTACCAACTCTTATGTCAGATAAACAAAAGATTTATGTTTTCACTGTTTTATTACAAACCTATTTTGTTGACATTGAATATATTCAGATAAATTCATTATGATCTCTTTTACTTTCAGATCTGAAGTTAGTCCAGTTGGTGTTGAAAAACTCAAACACCAGGTCATTGAACTCAAAGCATCAGAAGCAAGACTTAAACAAAAGGTTGTTGAACTTCAGCTTGTAGAAGATGATCTCAGAAAGAAAATAAAACACTCTGATAGGTCAGCCAAACCACCACCCGTACCAGCATCGAAGTGTGATGGAAATCATGCAGAATTCTTCCATAAGATTGATACCTTGAAGAAACGTGAACATCATTTGAAGCAGCAGATAGAGAGACTGGAACAAGATGCCAAGAATCAGGTTCTGTCCAGAAAAGTGGACCAACTTGAGCAGTCAGAGAAATCTCTGAAGAGGAAAGTTGAACGGCTTGAGACTAGCCAGGTGGCAGCACCTGTTGCCACAGAGACAACAGACAACATGTTGGACAAACCAGAAGATGTACTGCTTCAGCAGATCCGTGAACTGGAGAAGCTGGACAAGCATCATAGAGAACAGGTGAGTGAGTGAGTGAGTGAGATGTGTGTAAAGCTGCCTTGAACAGCTTGTCACAGTTTCCTTCCTATTCAACTCATGGAGTATAGGTGCCAGCTACCATGCTTGTCATAGAACACAAAATGAACTGGGCTATCGGGCTCAGTGACTCCATTGCATGTCATTGTATCCCTATTACTTGTATCAACGCTGGGGATGTCAGTCACTGCATTGTGTGGTCCAAACTTGATTCTTAACAGACACCTCAAATAGAATATTCATGATAGTGATATTGAATAAAAGAAATAAGCAAATAAACAAAATCCGTCCTATTCATTATTTCTTGGTTGTAAAGATCTGTCAGTAAGTCAATAACCTTTGAGTCATTTCCTGAAATGTTGGCAGATATCTGAACTGGAAGCAGACAGAGAGGAGCTCCATGAGATTGCACGGAGGGACAAAGGGACCATTCATGATCAGAATGTTCGCATCCGGGAGCTGCAGCTGTCGGAGAAGGTGCTCCGGGAGCAGGTGGAAAAGATGGAGGCTGCAGAGTCGGAACTCTACCAGAAATGTGAAGATCTGGACTCCCAGAAAACCAAGATGGAGGACCAGACACATCTCCTGCAGATCCATGAGAGGAGACTCCGCGAACTTGTCAAGAAACTCAAACTGGATGAGGAATTATGGATTGCAAAATCCGAAAACATGGAAATGACTGTAGAAGAGCTTGCTGCTTCAGAGGTTAATCTGAGAAAGAGGCTAGAGGAGCTTGCCACAGAGAAGATGACTCTGGCACAGAAGTCAGAATATCTTCGACTTCGGTGTCAGGAGTTGGAAAGCTCTGAGACAGCTCTGTATGAGAGGGTGAAGAATTATGAAAATGTGGAAGTCAGTCTTCAGAACAAGTTAATGGTGTTAGAAAACTCTGAGGCAGCAGCTAATAGTAAGATATCCGAACTAGACATGATGAATATGGACATTTCCACGCGGCTACAGAGAGCCGTGGAGGAGAATGCTGTCCTGTACAATCACATCCAGGGCATTCAGGGAAATGTGCAAGAGCTGAACAGGCAGCTTCTTGTAACAAAAGACTCAGAACTCGGTTTGAAACAGCAGGTGGAGAGTTCAGAGAAGAACGAAACTGTGTTGCAAAAACGTTTGAAGGAATTTGAGTTGCGAGATATAGACTCTCAGGCTAAAGTGAGGCAACTTGAGCAGACTGAAGCTATTATGAAGGACCGCATCAGTAATCTACAGCGGAGTGAGAACAAACTCAAGTACCGGATTCAGGAACTGGAGAGCAGTGGCAAACAGGTGAGACACCGGAGAACCTTTCTGTTGGTTTGGACTGATGGTATTGGTATAGATTCTCATAGAGCTGATGGGCAGTGGAGTAGCCTAGTGGTTTGTCCTTCAGTGAAGACGTGAGATTAATTCCCTACATACTTCCAATGTGTGAAGCCTATTTCTGATGTCCTCCACCATGGCGTTGCTGGAATATTGCTAAAAGTGACGTAATACCGTACTCACTCACCCATTCTTAGTGCTGGATAGTATCTTTAAGGTTGCTTATGCAGGAAAATACAACTCATAGACATAGCATTCTTTTGACATGCAAGGAATGATGACAGCCTAATATGTCCTCAATGTGCATCAACAGCCTGTAAACAGATACAGATTAGTCATCAGTTGTATTTCAGTGGCTGGAAGTGATGTTTCAAAGTTTGATATACATGTATATTATATAGGGAAGATGTTGATAACTTGTATGATCTTAAAAGGCAGAAGGAGAAGGAGATTGTTGTTGAGAACTAGGAACACATGCTGTGTTATTATACATGGTAATATATAAACACTGACATTGTGTTTCAGTCTTTGGAGGGAGCGTCCAGGGAGAGGCTCCCCCGCACTCTTGAGGAGTGTCACAAGAGGATTGTGGTCCTTCAGAATCAGCTCAAGCAGACTGCCCAGTTTTCGGATGATGATGAAGGAGCCATAGTAAAAGTGCCGAAAACGGAGTTGGCACAAGTGCAGGCAAAGATGGTTTTGCTCGAAGAATCTGAGCGTCAGTTGTCTGAGACCGAGAAACTTGTTTCTCATCTCCGAGACACAGTGGTACAGCTCAGACAGGGCAAGGTAAGATGTCAAAACTATGTCTGGAATTTTGATGGGGGATTAAATAGTGTTTCAACCTGTGAATATCAGAGTTAGAATTGATCTTCATCAACCCATGCTTGTCATTAGTGGCAAATAAAGGTATTGGGTCAGACTTACTGACTTGGTTCTTGCATGTCATCTTGTCCAATCATTATTGATGCTCATGAGATAATCACTGCATAGTCTGGTCCAGTCTCAATCTTTACATATAGCTGAAATATTGCAGAGTGAGACATTAATAAACATCAACACAAAAAATATATTGTTTCAGGAGTCATGCAGTTTAATTTTTACATTTCATGTCTGTGATAACCTGGATCACATCATGTGTTGTCATGTTTCAGGGTTCTAATTCCCCGGATCACATCATGTGTTGCCATGTTTCAGGGTTCTAATTTCCTGGATCACATCATGTGTTGTTATGTTTAAGGGTTCTAATTTCCAGGATCACATCATGTGTTGTCATGTTTTAAGGTTCTAATTTCCCGGATCACATCATGTGTTGTCATGTTTCAGGGTTCTAATTACTTGGATCACATCATGTGTTGTCATGTTTTAAGGTTCTAATTTCCCAGATCACATCATGTGTTGCCATGTTTCAGGGTTCTAATTTCCTGGATCACATCATGTGTTGTTATGTTTCAGGGTTCTAACTTCCTGGATCACATCATGTGTTGTCATGTTTCAGGGTTCTAATTTCCTGGATCACATCATGTGTTGTCATGTTTTAAGGTTCTAATTTCCCGGATCACATCATGTGTTGCCATGTTTCAAGGTTCTAATTTCCAGGATCACATCATGTGTTGTCATGTTTCAGGGTTCTAATTACTTGGATCACATCATGTGTTGTCATGTTTTAAGGTTCTAATTTCCCAGATCACATCATGTGTTGCCATGTTTCAGGGTTCTAATTTCCTGGATCACATCATGTGTTGTTATGTTTAAGGGTTCTAATTTCCTGGATCACATCATGTGTTGTCATGTTTCAGGGTTCTAATTACTTGGATCACATCATGTGTTGTCATGTTTTAAGGTTCTAATTACTTGGATCACATCATGTGTTGTCATGTTTCAATTTCCTGGTTCTAATTCTAACTTCCTGGATCACATCATGTGTTGTCATGTTTCAGGGTTCTAATTTCCTGGATCACATCATGTGTTGTCATGTTTCAGGGTTCTAATTCACTCATGTGTTGTCATGTTTCAAGGTTCTATCACATCATGTGTTGTCATGTTTCAGGTTTAACTAATCTACATCATGTGTTGTCATGTTTCAAGGTTCTAATTACTTCTAGATCACATCATGTGTTGTCATGTTTCAGGGTTCTAACTTCCTGGATCACATCATGTGTTGTCATGTTTCAGGGTTCTAACTTCCTGGATCACATCATGTGTTGTCATGTTTCAGGGTTCTAATTCCTGGATCACATCATGTGTTGTCATGTTTCAGGGTTCTATCACATTTCATGTTTCAGGGTTCTAATTACTAACTTCCTGTTCATGTGTTGTCATGTTTCAAGGTTCTAACTTCCTGGATCACATCATGTGTTGTCATGTTTCAGGGTTCTAATTCCTCGGATCACATCATGTGTTGTCATGTTTCAGGGTTCTAATTTTCCTGGATCACATCATGTGTTGTCATGTTTCAGGGTTCTAACTTCCTGGATCACATCATGTGTTGTCATGTTTCAGGGTTCATGTTGTGTTCATGGTTGTCATGTTCTAAGGGTTCTAACTTCCTGGATCACATCATGTGTTACTAAGTTCATGTTTCAGGGTTCTAACTTCCTGGATCACATCATGTGTTACCATGTTTCAGGGTTCTAACTTCCTGGATCACATCATGTGTTGTCATGTTTCAGGGTTGTAATTCCCCAGATCACATCATGTGTTGTCATGTTTCAGGGTTCTAATTCCCCTGATCACATCATGTGTTGTCATGTTTCAGGGTTCTAATTCCTCGGATCACATCATGTGTTGTCATGTTTCAGGGTTCTAATTCCTCGGATCACATCATGTGTTGTCATGTTTCAGGGTTCTATTTACTCGGATCACATCATGTGTTGTCATGTTTCAGGGTTCTAATTACTCGGATCACATCATGTGTTGTCATGTTTCAGGGTTCTAATTACTTGGATCACATCATGTGTTGTCATGTTTCAGGGTTCTAATTACTCGGATCACATCATGTGTTGTCATGTTTCAGGGTTCTAATCACTCAGATCACATCATGTGTTGCCATGTTTCAGGGTTCGTGTGGTCATGAGGTGGAGCTGGATGTATGTAGGAAGAGGATCCAATCCTACGAGAACATCTTGCAGCGTCTCAAACAAATCCTGCCATCAGAGCAGGTGCCCTCTTTGTTGAACCCTGACTCAGGTGAGTAGAACAGACCACTCTGTCAGATTGTCATCTCCTGGCATGCATGTATATATATGTTCCCTGCACAAATACAACATCAGGAGGCTTTTAATGACATGGGATTCCATGCGTGTTTTAAGAATTGACCAGTAACAGGTGCTTTGATTTTGTCATTCTACTTCCCTGTGTGGCTTGTGCTATTGATTGATTGTCCACCTCTGTTCATTCATTCATTCATTCATTAATTCATTCATTCATTTGAAATATTCATCTGTTTCAATTAGCTGTAGGTTAAACTCAGTATGTGAAGTTTGAAAGAATATTTTGTCTTTCATGTTCCCACAAGTATAGTTTATTATCTTTCGAAATTGTTACTAATGGATTCTTCCATATTGCTGTAGTTAATTCATCTGTAGTTAGTCTCTCATGCCTTCCTGCAATGGAGGCATTTGTTTATCCCGTAGGACATGTGTTTTTTGTTTTGTTGACATGAAATACCCTCATTAGTGTCAAAATCATCACTAAATTCACTAATTGCATAAAAAAAATATGATTTATTCAAATAAACACAATTTTGACTGAGCTAAACGTAGCCAATTATAAATAAACAAACAGATTGAGTCATCAACTGGATATCAACACAAACATACAGCTTAATTACCTTCCAAACAATTCACCTGTGGAACTGTCAGTCACGGCGTTGTATCTCTGCCATGGATGATCTAGGACAATACCAGAAACAAGTTGACAGCTATCTATCTATGGACGATTAATGAGTCAGACCTTGATGTATGGGGTGATATTAGGAGATGGATTGAACTTGGTATTATGAAACATGATCAGCGTGTAGTGAGTATGTTCAAGCTGTCGCTGTAGGCTCTAGCAACAGGTGGAGTTAACCCTTCCTGAGTCATGAAAATCAATATCACTGTGGAGTATGTGAAATCGTTGCCTGTTTGTTATCACTGTGGAAGGGGTGTTGTTTGGGACTGAAAGTAAATCTTGTAGTGTTGGATAGTATGATCTAATATACAGTGGAAGCCCTCTAAACCGGCAGCCCTCCAATCCAGCATGCTCTCAATATCGGCACTAGAATTTGGTCCCGGTAGAAGCTAATTTATGATCATATACCACCCTCTAAACCAGCATTTTGTGCTGGTCCCAACAAATGCTGGTTTAGAGGGCTTCCACTGTACAGGTAATTTTTTGCAATCATCTCTGCCTGAAAATATTTTGGACCCAGAGACGTGACTTTGTTTTTAATCCATTAAGGAGAGAATATATTTTTGATACTTTATTTCAATTTGTGATTATACCATGTCCTGGTGAGTGGAGTCTGTGAAGCAGTAACTAAATCGGTACCTAACAGTGTTCATAATATCAATCACTGGTTTGGTCCAGATCAGATTATTGGCTGGTGTCATAAAGTTGGAATATCTCTGTGTTGGGGTTTAACAACAAACATTTATACCCTTCAACTTAACTGCCAGCAGATTTGTGTTGCTGAGTTAAAGGGTTAACAGTGCCGGGCATGTATATAAGTTTAAACGTGACAGTGAGAAGCCATATTGATCAGCGCATGTAGATGTATGTGAATGGTACAGGATACAATAAGCTGAAATCACAAGTCTCAAAAGCAGGGAGATTTATCTCAAGCCAATGACTTGATTCCGTGTAAGGAAGAGTGCAGTATAGACAGGATCAATACATGTAAGGTGTTGGCGGGACAGTGTGTAATGTATGGCAAGCTACACAGATGGTTACTGCAGATCTATGGGACGTGATACACATCTCCATCTGTGTGTTAGATACATGAACAGCAGTCTTTGATTTGGATTACCACATGTGGAATATGTGTGAAGTTCCTTCTAGCATGGGTTTGTAAAGTTCTTGGGTCTATTTTGTGTGATTGTGTGTGTGTGTGAGTGTGAGAGAGAGAGAGTGTGTGTGTGTGTGTGAGAGAGAGAGAGTGTGTGTGTTTGTGTGTGTGTGCTTGCGGTCACAGTGAAAGTGTTGTTGTCAAACTTCAACTTACTTCAGGATGAGATCTTGTAACAAAGGCCACCATTGCCTTGCTGGTTAGTGAGTCTGTGTATGGAATCTTTGGTGACACCAGGGTACAGTGACTTCCAAAACTTTGTGAGCCGGTAGATTGTGTCATTATTCCCCAGTTTGTGAGACACTGGTTTTCCAACTTGTACATTTTGTTGCTATGAAACCAGTGAACTGTACAGCGATTGATCTGTACTACTTTTTGTGTCAGACTCTGATATATCCCAACTGTGTCATGGCAACCTATAAATATTGTTAAACTTAATTGTGAACCAAAAGTCAATGTGTTCTTTAATCTGATTGGTTGAAAAACATGATCGAATGGTATTCGATTCACGGAAATTGCAAGACCATTCGCTGCATATTAATATGTACAAACATCGCACACACCATTATATTGTTACGTCGTCGGCAGGGGTGACGTCAAATACTCAATAACTCCCAGAAATTGGCCAACACATGATGTTTATCTCCTAATTAAGAAAAACAGTCGTGATAATTGTGAGACAAGTAATTTTGTGCCTTCGCATTCTGCATCTCATCAAGTAAATATTTCACTGAAATTGAACGAGGCCAAATACGTTTTGAATCCAAGTCAGTAATATCACCGCTGTGGTAGGGTGTAAATAACTAATGGTTAATAGCATGAGCATCAGTCCTTGAGGTCGATGTATTATGACACAGTGCCAGCTGCCTGACTCACACTAACACCTGCTGCTCATTGACGAAATTGTCTTAAGAACTGGCTGTTGGTGAATCAATTACTCATCTAAGTTACAAACAAGCATGACTTTTATCAGTGTTCTTCATCTTGATTCAACATCACTGGATTGACTGAAGTTCCCAAGCATTTGGTGCTAAGGTCCTACTTGCACATACTGACATGAATTAATCATGAGAGTGACGGGCGGTAGTTTGAGTAAAGATTCCATATTGGGGTAAATTTTGTATCAGTTTGACCGAGAAATAGACATAGCACACTGTTCCTGTCTGTAGTCTCTGTAAGGGAAGTCCCAAGGTCATCTCACCTCATGTCACCCTGCCTCACCTCACCTCACCTCACCAATATCCATATCTCTTCCAGATCCATCTGTTCAGGGCTCATCCAGTGAGAACCTCCCAGCACGAGGTCTTCAGTCCTTGGAGTCAGAGAGGGTTATGCAGACAATGAGAGGCTTGACCAGGCCAGTGGGGACCGCAGCGTTGCAACCCCAGGCCATACATGCTGAGGAACAGGTGCCCTCAGACCTCAGCAGTGTTGAAGAAGAAAATATGCATCAGGTGAGCTACAGTCACATCATGTCTGCCTTAGAGAAACAGTTGTGGACATGGGGTGGTTGGTATTTATATGTTTGGTCAGTACAAGGTCACACATCAGCTGGCCTGCTGGACATGTGCTGGTGAGCTATAGACAGGATTGATATTTGGGGAATCATGAGGACTGTTCCTGTCAGATATATCTGATACATACACAGTAGGTGTGGCAGGGAGACATAGTTTGAGGCTGGGGCGAGCTGGTATAGATAGCAATACTTAATAGTGCAATTAGCAATAAGAAAACATAGTAATGTCTGCATGTTAGCCTGCTTAATTTGTAGCAAATGGATGAAAATGAGCACATTTACATATTTCCCTCAAATTCTACTTTCTGATGCTGACATCATACAGTTCAATGAAATTGTTACAATGCATACTACGTTACTGCATTATTCTTGTACCCTTCTGCTGTAAGCAACATGCAACTTGTTGCAAAGCTGAAATTAATTCACTCTTTGTTTGGTATATTACCCATTTTATCTTTTGACATTTTGTCTGATTCTTTGCTTCATCACTTATGGTTGGATTAAAATGTGTCATTACGGACTAGAGTGAAGATAAGACGCACTAACTTACATCATTTTCCTTAGTTCAACATGCATCCTTAACATTTCTCATCCTTCACATATGCAATAAGCACTGACTCAAAATAACTTGTCATCTCAAGGTTTTTGAAGATTACACATTGGTTGGTAGCCATTATTCAATTTGTCACTGAAATCACTTCATCATGGCAACTGTTTAATTAACCAATGTGATCTCTGAAGTTGTGTAACGGTTTTATTGTGAATTTGGATTCAGAGCTATGCTCATCTTGAGTGCAAGCTGGTGGTGCTTGATGGAGCAATATTAGATCTGCATCCAGTAAAGGTATATGCAGTTGTCTCCCCTTGGATCCTGAGGTTACCTCCCCTGTTTCCAGATCTTTATGTAGAACTGATAGTAGATTATAGAAGACATTAGCTGTGTCAGAGTTACCTGCATAGGTAAATTTGGAGTTTCATTGTTAGTTTTAGTGTAGGGCAAAAATACACACTTAATTGCACATTCTAAGAAAATAGAACTACCATTTTTAATGATAATGCAAAATTCTGAGTTTAATAAGAATTTTTATTTATAATGTTACACATAAAACTGCTGAAAGAATCGACATTGTCTTGTTATTTTTGTAATGACATTCTTTAAGAGGTGGTCATGGTCAATATTTGTCTATATTCCTCTTTTGGAAGGGTATATTAACACTTCTGTTCCTGAAAATTATTTTTTTAGATATATTTGAGATTAATTATGTTTTGAACCAGAACTTGGTGGCACAGTCCCTTGAAAGTAGTTGCGCGGTCTGTCTTTGGATTGGCTCTTGAAACACATGTTGTATTTGGTGATGGAATGTCTGCCTTGATTGTTGGGTTTGTCTTGGTACTGACCTGTTAGATATGACTTTATAGTCGAATGAAGATGATGGTAAACTATTTCTATTACAAAGACTAAAATGCACTCTTTACTAAATGATTATTCATCAAACTCAAATGAAAAATGAAATGCTGTTTAACACAATCACATAACGATGTTACATGATGATTCTTTTATTCTTGTTCCTATGGTATATTTTTCATGCCAATGTATTGTTTTGTGTTTTACAGGTGCAAGGAAGCAGAGTGTACACCCGCCCTCGTGTATCTGCTTCTCAAGATGGCCGAAGCGGCCATCTTGAATCTAGTGATGCTGAATCTGTGATGGAGGAGCAGTGGAAGAAAATTGAATCTAAGAAACCACGTCTGGAGAAGAAAGCAGATTTGTCTGGCAACTGGAAGAGTGTTGCCAAGGCTGTTCCTTCCACCTCCCCCAGGAAGAACACAGATAGTCAGGAGGAATTAATAATAGGTCTCACCCTTAACTCGGAGAGTGAGCACAGCCATTACCGATCACAGAATGACACGGATTCCAATAGGTCAAGCCCTCAGCTGCAACGAGCTAGAGCATCGAAGGATACTAGCTTTGAATCGCATGCTCCGCCTTTGCCAAAATCGCTTCCACCATCTTTGCCACAAAAGGTGGGAAATTTCGCAGAGAAATCCTACTATCTACCGAGCTCAGAGTTGGACGGTAGTGCTGACGAGACTCAGAGGTCAGCAGGTCAGCGTGTCCCTCACCTGCAAACAGCGCCCCCTGTGTCTGCCCAGGTTACTCGGACAGTGTCGGCTGAGAGTGTTGCCGACAGTGGGCAGGGCACCATGGGAACAGGATCAATGTTCTCGACATCCAGGGGGTCGGTCATTAGAGACAGGATAGCGCAGCTTGAGAGACAACTGCAGGTGAGTCCTCTCACTAAATATATAATCACATCTCTTGTAATACCTCACGCAGTTGAAACAAACCTGATTCAGATGATATCTGGAGAATTGTCAAATCAGCCAGTTAGCTTGGCATTTTTGATTTCCTAACACATGGATGTGTCTGATGTTTGTACGTTAAAACTGAAAGTTAACAGGGAGTTCTGAATGGAGAAGGAAACAAGAATCTGTACCATGTAATTTTTTCAGCCCCATTGTGTCTACATTCAGAAAGGTGCACATAGGGAACATTGTCATTTGGTTGTGGTTTCTTTTGTTCAGACGGAAACGTCCAAAGTTTGAAAGTTACAGAGACTGAACACACATTGCTCGTGTTACTCAGCTGTATTGTTTGTTACTCATCATGTGGCTTGTGGTTTTCAGTCCAAGAGCTCGGGAGCTGAGAGTAGGACTGATGAAGAAGATACTGTGTTTTCTTGGAAACATAAGGTAACACAAGACGGACATAGTGGAAGTCGCTGATTATCTCGGCTCATTGTGAAATATGATTAACATATTTGTGAAATCCAACATGACAAGGAATTACGTTCTAATATTTTTGCGGTAAAATAGCAACAGTTATTCACATTTTTCAGTTGATACTAGGAAATGTCAGAAGCCTGTGATTGTCACCACCAGCATATTTATGGTAGTGGGTTTTGACAATGTGGTAAATGTCATATTGACTCAAAAGCCTTCTGTGACTATAAGCTTGTCCTTGAGTCGTGGTGAATCACTGTCTTGGCGAATGGAATAAATATGTATTAGTCATATGTTATGGTGAACTTCTGTCTATAGATCTGTTTTAATCTATTGACTGGGAATTTTTTTATTCTGTCTGCATTGACATGTGTGTTTTCTATTCAGGCTCTAGAGAAACCACGGCATATTGAGATTATTGAGAAGGAGAATAAGAATGTCAAAGATGAAGTAAGTTACATTACATTTTATTTATGAAAGCTATCTCCATCATTACATTTTTGCTTTGGATTATGATTATGCTGTGGAGAGAAACCGTTAGTTTTGAAGCAAGGGTGATTTTGCCGTGTACATCATATCATCACAACATGTTTCTCATTCTCATCGTCATCAAAGTAATTGGGTTCATCTTGCATGAGAACATAAAAGGAAATAAATACATTGTGATTCTGTGTCATTAGTTTTGCAAGCTAAACAATATATAAAATATTAAAGTCAATTCTTCTATGTTGCCATGGTAAAGACCACCATGCTTATGTGCTTCAATCAGATATAATTTGGCATTGACTTTGAAGGCTTCAAAATGGGTAAATGGCATATTAATGGGACGGGTGATATATGGTACAAGTCATTATTTTCCAAATAGTCATTCCATGCATTTTTGTAAATGCAAACCTATCCTAACAGGCAGGTAGTAAGCCTGTGGTCAAGGCCCAGAACTCATGGAGTCATTTGCATTGTATAGTGTCCTGATGAAGGTGCAAGAAATAGCCCTGAAACATCTTTACCAACATAAAGAAGTTGTTACCCATAAAAGCTCCATGTCTTTATGTTCTTCTAAATTCTTAATGTATATATAAAAGACTTCTCCACATAGTCATTAGGACAGATTGGACTTGCATTGAATTTTCATTATCATATAAAAATGGATGCCCACTCATATTGTGGACCAGTTGTAGAGTCATGTTAGGGTCATTAATGTCCATGGAGTCATCCCAGAAAGTGGCCATTGTATAGCGATGAGGTTGTCATGAGATACTGAGCTTGTTAGGATCATTACCGTAATGTCCATGGAGTCATCCCAGAAAGTGGCCATTGTATAGCGATGAGCTTGTCATGAGATACTGAGCTTGTTAGGATCATTACCGTAATGTCCATGGAGTCATCCCAGAAAGTGGCCATTGTATAGCGATGAGGTTGTCATGAGATACTGAGCTTGTGTTCTGGTCGCCAGCCCCCACCGGCCACACGCCGTCGCCAGAGGGTAAGTGACGGGAAAGTGTGGCGCACGACACTTCAGTTTCAGTTCCAGTCCAACACCAAAGGTTCGGGGTATTTTCTTTTTTTTCACCATTTTTGGGCGGAATGCGGACATACTCGGCCGACTTAAGACATACTGGCCATTAGCTAGGAACAAGATGCATTGCTTTCAGTTTTACCCTGCGCCTAATCGGTAGTTTGCTGATGTTTTGTGTAACCTGTATAAATGGATAATTTAGTAGAATATAATTGCTTTTAGTTCTAACAAGGATAACTATTTCTTTGAATTCATAAGAATAACTTGTTGATTTCTTTTGGAATTGATAATTATGAAGAAGTTTAGATTTTTGATTGATGTCCAGCAAATTACTGATTAGTTGCCTAGCAACAGCACACTGGAGGCGGGACGCATAGCGTAAACAAAAAAATATGGTTGTCAGAACAGCAAGATTCATTTATCAATATACTTTTTTTCAGTTAATTTCATACAGAATGTTTCATTTCATCAGTTTTTATGTCACTGGTGTTGGAATAAGCACTTTTCATTTTTCATATTATTTCATTGAAAATAGTCATCAAATTGCATGTAGATTTGTTTCAATGTACATATTTGTCTTTTTTTTATAAATCTTTGTATCTGTGTAAAAATATGTTAATGTTGTAATATATGACTGTTGTATGAAGGTGTAGCCTAGTAAATCCATCTATACACAATGTAAAGGTACAGTGTAGCTGTAGAAATCTATCTGACAATTTTATGATCAGGATAGTCACTGAACGTGTAGATATTCTAGTCACTGCATAACTGCTAAGCTTGAAGCACATCTTCATTTTACATGTTGGTCGAAGGGTAGTTGAAGTTTTGAACACATGATATATTGTATATCTGGACCGACTGTACAGTGAAGATGTGATTCAACTAACAATCATTTGCGCATTGCTCCAAGGTAACATTGGTCCAGAGATACAAGTGGATTTAACACAATATCAGTGTTTGGCTGAACACGAGAGACAAATTATGTTGATTGTCGACTTTTTTAACTTTGGAAAAAACATGATTTTGACAGACCATGGGTAAATCTGGGCTTCACTTTGGTCTCCTGCATTAGGAACATTACAGGGTACTGGTACACGACCAATGTTGCTTGCTTTCATCTTCCTGATGCAAAACCAGTGCCAGAGTGGTGCAAAATCTGTGCAAACTGATATCAAACTGATGCAAAAATGGTGCAAAACTAATTGCAAAAGTCCTGCAAATTCAAATGACGCCAATTTTGAACTAATGTGTGATGCAAAACAAAACAACAGTCAAACTGTTGCAAAATTGCTACAAAATTGTTGGAGTGATGCGAATTGGTGCAAACTCTTGGAAATCTGCTCAACGATACATTATTGTAGCATTGCTAAACATTGTAAACAACAAGTTACTGAATTTGTACAGAAAATAATTTGATTTTCATCAATTATTAATCTGGAAAAATAAGTAAACTTTAATTCATCTTCTGACACTGTACTTATGCTATACATATTTGTAGGGAATAATTCCACAGTACCAAAAACCACACTCCATCAGTAAAACTTTTACTATCGTCACTAAGGTATTGGGTTGACATTAAGATACTGGTTTGCTGTGATGGATTCAGGTGTGATAGGTGTTTAAATGCATCTGTTGTTGTTACAGATCAATAAGTTAGAGAAGGAGTTAGAGGAGAAGAGACGACACATTGATACATTTACAACTTGGATGTCTGAGGCAGAGGAACTGCTCAGAAACCAGGTACGTCCATCATAGTGTCCTCTGAAAATATGTCCATGAAGGTGTCCACTGAAAATATGTCCATGAAGGTGTCCACTGAAAATATGTCCATGGAGGTGTCCACTGAAAAAATGTCCATGAAGGTGTCAAGATATTTCCAAGAAGGAATACATTGAAAATGTGTCCATGAAGGTGTCCAATGAAAATATGTCCATCTAGGTGTCTATTGAAAATATGTCTGAGAAGGTGTCCATGGAATATGGTTCATGAAGGCATATACTGAAATTTGTCCATGGAGGTGTACATTGAATGTATGTCAGGCTTGCTGTATTTAGTTTTGAGTGAACCAACTGCCTTTTCTTTCTCCTGGTGTGGAACCCTGTTAAACAGTATTACAATGTACTGCATGCCATGAAATTTAATCCAGAATGCAGATGCCAGTACTTCAGTGTTTGAATTCAATCTTCTGTCTTTTTTCTCACAAAAGTGGAAAATCAATAAAATATTTAGCCCTTATCTTATGAGCACACATTGTTATGCTTGTTTTGTGAAATCCTAGTCTAATGTATTTGTACCAGCTGGGCATACTGATAGAGCTCAAGAGTTCTCAAATTGGATGCTGAGACAAACTAATCTACACTATCCATAAAATTGGTCTTGGCAACCCATGCACATTGTAAGAGAAGAAAAAAAGGGGGGCGGTGGGGTAGCCTAGTGGTTAAAGCGTTGGCTCCTCACGCCGAAGACCCGGGTTCGATTCCCCACATGGGTACAATGTGTGAAGCCCATTTCTGGTGTCCCCCGCCATGATGTTGCTGTAATATTGCTAAAAGCGGCGTAAAATGAAAACTTGGTTGAAAATTGTAGATCGATGCTCATGATTCTGATCACTGGTCCAGACTCAATAATTTATAGACTGCCACAATATAGCTGGACTATTACAGAGCGTTAAAAACAAACAAAATACTCCTGCCTGGAGAGAGAGGCACCCTCAGTATGGCTGATTAAACAAATGACAAAGCCTGATCCATGATGTTGTGTTCTTCAGAACAAGCAAAGCGACAGGGACATAGTACAGAACTTACAGTCACAACTAGTCAACATTAGGTCTGAACTACAACACACAGGATATCGGAAAGAAGACATATTGGAAGACCCAGCAGCATTTAGAACAGAACTTAACAAACGGGATAGAGAAATAGCAGCTAAAGTGAGTACATGACATAGAACTTCCTTCCTTCAGACACCAGTATTCATGTCCAGTTGTGTAGCTGGACTGTTTCATATTGGTGTGCACATGGTCAAGACCTACTTTCTAACAACTTATTACATTCTTATCAAAAGTGTACATATTTTTGCATTTCTGAAAAAACATGTTTAGGCCAGACCAATTTTATTTCTTGTTTTACGGATTTTTGTCCTCAGAAAACCTAAAGGCAGGAGGGGAAAAAAATAAAAATAAAATCACCAGTCAAAGTAATATTCCTTCTAAATACTCAAAGTATTTTACTTTTGGCAATTTATGAAGAGTATATGGGGCAAAAAACATTTAAAAAAACATTTTTCTTGTAACTTTACATTTGTGGCCGATAAAAACATCAGGATTTTATTATTTGAACGGGGAAAATTTTATTGTTTGAACGGGGAAATTTATTTATTTTTTTCTTATTCTTGAAAAAATATGACAGGTGGATCCGTAAAACAAGAAATAAAATTGGTTTGGCCTTAGGATTTAATCAGAGACAGTGTTATTCATATGGATATTTTATAGGGCAAATTGAAGTCATACTTGCAAATATTCAATCATCAAACTTAGCAAATAGATCTGTGTTTAAGTTAATTTGAAAATTCCAAAATGTTAAATAAAATTGATTGAGCTTGTTGATGAATGATATTGAAACAAAACTTTCAAGTATCGTTTTTGCTAAAAATCATTATTTATTGTCTATGTGGTTTACACACTTGTTTTTTCAAAGAGAGTGTATTATGCACAAGTAAATATGGTAGTCATTGATAAGACTTTATTTGAAATCCACCAATAATAGAGGACTATGCTCTTGGTGTGTAGTCAGTGACTTGGCATCACACTGACACATTTTCTTTGTTTCATTAGGGTATTTACCAGTAGTTCATTAATGGTGTAGGGCGGTGGGGTAGCCTAATGGTTAAAGCATCGGCTCGTCACGCTGACGACCCGGGTTCGAATCCCCACATGGGCACAATGTGTGAAGCCCATTTATGGTGTCCCCCGCTGTGATATTACTGGAATATTGCTAAAAGCGGCGTAAAACCCAACTCACTCACTCATTAATGGTTTGTTTGATGTATTGTCATAAAATGAAGGTTTGGTTCAGCTTGTTGGTTTAGTCTCGTTCACAGTGTGATGTTTCCTTCCAGACTAGTGAGATACAGACACTAACAAGGGAAGTCCTTCGATGGAAGGAGGAATGTGATAGGACAGAAATAATGCGTGCCAACGCACTTGACAGTCTAAGAAATTTGGAGGTTGAAGTAACACATTTGGAGAATGCTGACGAACAGCTAATGGAGTTGAAGGAAGAATACGACAAACTTCGGGAACAGGTTAGTGTTTGTCAAACCGTTGTCAAATTATAACATTGTCAGAGTTGTCATATAGATAGTCAAGATTTATTGGATGTTTTGGTTTTTGATACTGTTGTGGTTAAGAATAGAAAATTGAGATAAAAGTTCAAGTTGATAAAAAAAGGTTTACTTTCACATGTTAACACTTTTTACTAACAGTCACGTATTAAATGCCAGATAATCAGTCTGTGATTGCATGCTTCTAACTAGCAGCAGTGTTCTGAACGCTGTGTGCCCCACCTTGCTTCACTAACCCTGCTAACCTTTATAATGTCCCCCCACGCAGCTCAATGATCTGAGGAGTGTCTGCACAGAATATAAGCATGTTCTGGCTGAGAAAGAAGATCTTGAAGATGAGATTCAAAATTTGAGGCTTCGTCTTAAAGATTTTGGTGTGAAGGAAGCAGAAAATAATGCCCTTGAAGGACAGCTGGAGGGAGCTTCAAGACTTCTCAGTGACCGGGTAATCAGTCAAGCTCCATTGTTGCTACCTTGGCTCATGGGGGATAACTCTGCACGGTTTGTTGTGCATGGGAAGGAACTCTTGACTGACATTTACTCATGATTTTCATTCTCTTTTGGACACAATGCACCAATTCATTCAGTTGGTACTGGTCACGGTTTTTGTTGCCTTTTCAATTTGAACCACTTATGGTTGGTGATGAATTCCCAAGGTTTTGATAAGTGTGCACAGATTCTCACATGTGTTGGCTAGGAATGGTTTAAAGATCTTTCCATAGCCAGGTTTAGACTGGGTATCATCCGCACACTTCTGTTTCACTGCCACATTCAATGCACAAGTACAAGCTTCACGACACCAGATGCTTTTCATAGTTTATTTGCCATTGTCCTTACCTTTCACCCACCTATATCTGTATTGGGCTGCCTTTTTGCTTGTTTTTCAGGGTGTATGCGAGACTAGATATTGCATGATTATTCATCATTATCTACCAAGAATTCACAAGATATATATTACTACTAATAATGTCCCCTTAAAAGTTTTCTATGTTCAATTGTTACAGTTAATTTTTTTTCTGTCCATATTTCCCCAATTCAGTGGTACATTAGTCCTGAGTGGCCTCTCTCTCATAGTTCCAAGCTTATGTTCACTGGTACCATGCACATCACCTGCACATCACTGTGGCTGCTTGTAAATCAGTCTGCCATGTGTCCCTTCTGCACATGCTCACTGCGTCTGCTTTTTCCAATATGGCTGCCAGATGGAGCGGGTTGAGCAGCTGAAGCAGGAGCTGGTTCACCTCCAGGACAAGATGGCGGACATTGACAAGGAGAACAATCACCTGAAGTCCATGCAGGATGACTATCATAACATTAAATCCAGGGCAAGTCCTCTTCATCACATATTGTCTTTAGGGAATCAGATCCAGAGGTGTTTATACTCAGGAGTTAGGTGCTTCTTAGAGTTTACTGCTCGATGAATCCAGATTCATTTCTCCTTCCGTCAGCATTTGTCTATTGAAGGATGTTCAGTCTTCTAAGCTCAGTGTTTATTGTCTGCTGTATAGCATGGTAGAGTGAGGTTTCTTGTCAAGATGTCTTAGGTAACTGGATCGGGAAGACTGGTTTGCACAGAAGTGGTTTCACTCAAACATGACCTGTAACTGGATCAAGATATTGGTTTTCTTGTTCATGGATACTTGTATTCTTTTTCTTTCAATAAATACTAACTATTAACCAACATCATAACATATTAATAAAATAGAGTAAATGAGAGCCCAGTAAACTGATTTATCATGGATAATGCCAAATGGGACATTCACATCTTCGTTTATGTAGTGGTCCCCACTATGTTTTATCAGTTGTGGTTCTCTTAGTTGCCATGACAACGATGCTATTTGTCCAACAGTATGAGGAGATGGAGAGACTGAAGAACAAGGCTGTAATGGCCATCTCCCCTCTGAAGGCTCAGGTGGCCCGGCTCAGCAGGAAGTGCAGGGAGAAGGTAGGGATCATCGTAGTCTCCAGTCACCTACCTCAAGCATCAGTACATACTTGAGGAATGATGTAATATCTAACATGGCACTTCAGTCAAATTATAAAAAAAACATCACAGTACTTACTTCTCCATGGGGGCAGGGCACCACTTCACAAAATGGCAACAACTATCATGCAGCATAGAAAATACCCCTTTAATACTTGCACTATGATGGCTTTTGTCTCCTCTTGTGGCAGACTGGTGCTGCTGTTAACCGGGTATCTGTTTACTTGCATACTTGGTACATTTGTGCCTGTTCTTGTATTGGGATATGTCATTAGGTAAGCTGTATATTACAGTCCTCCCCGTGGGGCCCAGCAATCTATGCTTGTCCTAAGAGGTGACCAAATCAATCTGCTGGTCAGACTTGTAACATCATATCCCAACGGCATAGATTTCTGCTCAAGGTGCTATCACTGGATTGTCTGGCCAAGGTTTGATAATTGATAGGCCACATCATATAGTTGGAATACTGAGTGTGACAGACAGCAAACAAACAAACAAATAGGACAATCCATGTGCCAATCTAATAACTACCACCTGTTAATTACAGGATGCTTTGATCCACCGTCTAGCAGAGGAGCTGAAGCGGTGCCAGACTGCGGAGAACCTGGCTTCGGTTCTGGAGGAACTGGAACAGTTTGAGCAGGACACCGAGAATGAGGAGTACTACCGCCCCCTCTCACCCTACACACAGGCCAATCGGGTCAGTACCTCTGTCTCACGACGAAGACCGGGTTCGAATCCCCACATGGGCACAATGTGTGAAGCCCATTTCTGGTGTCCTCCGCCGTGATGTTGCTGGAATATTGCTAAAAGCGGGGTAAAACCAAACTCAGTCAGTCAGTCAGTACCTCTGTCTGTGTCCATTCTCGCTTTGACATCACCCAGTTCAATGATGATGTGTCCACCAGTTGAGCCCATAGTTTCAGATATAGATTACAACCCATACCGACAAAACATGCACCTATAGAAGAAACTTTCATGAGGCTGCTCAAATTGCCCTTGTGTTTATATCAGACAAATGCAATGTGTATATAGCATGTTAACTTCATCACTCTACCAGACTAGATCATGGGCAATGAAGGTTTGCTTTTGGCAGCTTGTTGCAAAAACTTAAATGTGTCCATTAAGGATTTGGAGTGTGAAACAGGCAGTTTGATTGGAACTTATTGGTTGAAATAAGCCAGCATGGGTTTTCTACATGATTTCATATTTTGCTGTTACTCAGATATTTGTAGATTTAATTAATAACACCATAAATGCAGATGCATTATATTGAAATAACAGCCTTCTCTAAGGAATGTATTCTCACACAATCCTATCTTGCTCATGTTGTCATTCCTGTATCTCTCAGGCTGATAGTCCAAGGGCAGGGAAGATTGACGTCAACAGCTTTATTAGGAACCAGAGGAATTCTGGGCGGTGGTCCTCGTCTTCATCACTATCAGACAGTCGGGATCTGTCCAGCGACCCTGAGATGGGGAGTGTTGAATCTGCCAACAAGAGGAGGCCCAAATCCGCTGACCACTTGATGGGTCGAAGGTCACCATTCCAGGGAATTCTCCAACGCTCAATCAACGCGAACAACCTGAGTCCAAGGGGCAGTGGTGGACTGGTCAACAGCATGAGGGAGAAATATGGACATCTGCCAGATGCCAGTCACTTTGTGGCCATCACAGACTACATTCCAGACGTTTCATCATCTACCGGTCATCCCAGTCTGCAGCTTCGACTGCAGGAAGGTGACAGGTCAAGGTCACAGGTGAGATCTCTGCAGATCTCCTTAGAATCTACACAGCTGGCAAAAGTCAATGTGACAATTTTGGAAGCCATGTAACTCTGCAATGAGATCATTAGAATCTACAATAATTTCAACAATAGTTTAGAAGAGAAATCTGGTTTTGATCTGGAAGAGGACAGGTCCCTCCCCTCCACATCTGTGTGTGTAGGCCATGCTTGTTGGTCTAACCAAATCAGTAAACAACTGAGATCTGCAGCACTTAAGGCTTCCTTTAAACATGCCATGATATTACTGAAATACTGTTACACAGCGTTAAACCAAACTCCTTCACTCCTCTGTCTGCAGGTCCAATAGATGAGAATGGTTACTATGAGGTGGAGTGTAACGGGAGAGCGGGTCTGGTTCCTGCCACATGTCTCCAGCCTGCAGGACTGGGTTCTAATGGACACCATGGAACACCCAAAGAGAGGAGGTTAAAACACCTGAAGGTAACTATGACCTGAGTGATGCCTTTCTGAATATTTACTCTCTTAGTTGTACTTAATGTGTGCAGAGATAGACTCATGACCAGACATGTTAACTTTTCTACTTCATGAAACTATATTAGTAACAGTCATTACTGACATTGTAGAAACTGTACAGAAATCAGAGACCATATAGCAGTGCATGGTTTCTGGATAGATCATTACACAATGACAATGGTAATAATGTCCTTGACTGTCATCCCAAATGTCTGTCATCCCCAGAACCAGCCTCCTCACCAAGACAACAGCCCGGAGAGAGTGACGGAGATGTATCATCAGCTGCAGGCTCCACAGATCTCCCCCAGACATGGTAGGTACAGGATGAGGATGTGTCTCAGATGTTGAATATGGTCTAGCTTCATCTGGGCGGTGGGGTAGCCTAGTGGTCAAAGCGTTGGATCTGAAGCCGGGTTCGAATCCCAACATGACAATGTGACTTTCAAAGATCTGGAATATTGCTGTATGATCAGTCTCTCCCTGAAGCATATGACAGAGACTCAAATTTCACTGTATGATGTCTCTCCCCACATTCCACATTCCATATTTTGTATATCTCAAGGGAGATAACTCCACATTGAAGTTGATGTGTGTGTATGAAACATGGTGAGAACAGGAATAGACTAAGTTGTTTAATGTTTATAGCTTACGTCCTGGTGTCAACTTAAGGTGATCCACATTTAGGATCTGTGTCGAGTCATGCACATTGTATCTGACGGAAGATGAACATGTACGTAATTTCATATCACACTGGATGCTGAACTATTTGTTGAGGTTTCATCATTTCCTTCCTGTAGGGGGCAGCAGCAGCAGCAGCAGCAGCAGGTCCACCCCCACCAGTAGCCTCACCCATCATGGCACACAGACACCCAAACACCTGGTGTCCTCCACATCTGCTCAGACACGCTCACACAAGCCCATGTTTAAACCCCCCCAGAGAAGTGGTCAGTATATGATATTTACAAATGTGGCATAATGGTGGAAATTTATGATGATCTTATGTTTGATGATACTTTTTAAAATAAAATGAAGAATGAAAATAAAAATGTTAACATCTGCATGTAAGGCAATATTTGTCAATTCTACCAAATGTGGACTTATGTGTTGGTTAAGATGGGACAAAAAATATTTCAGCTACACTACACACGAGTCTGGAGTTATATTCAGATATGTTGGAAGACTAGAAACTAAATCTAAACTTTCTTTCTTTTAAGTGTCCTTTTTCCTACCGACATGGATTTTCAATAGTAAACAAGTCTAGAATATTAAGAACAGGTCTTATATGATTAAACTTAAATCTCCCTGTACCCCATTGGTCTCCCTTTAAGATTGGTCAGGGTGCTACTAGGACAGTAACTGAAATACTTTTAAGGTTGAATGTTGTTCTGTATGCAGGTCCACCTGAGGCTCCAAGACAATTCCATGTGGAGCGGCTGGTTGGCGAGGCTGGTATCATGTTGTCATGGATACCACCAGATCTTGATGAAGTTGGTTGTAGCAACAACTCCCAGGTTGTAGGCTACAGGGTGAGATACAGAACTGTATTTGTTGAGGTTTGGTGGGGTTACGTGGACCATTCACGTGGGATACAACTGTACTTGTTCAGGGAAGAGGGGATGACATGGAGGTCATAATTTGGTCCAGCAACATGCCTTCATCAGCAGATTTCTTCAATTTAGCCCTATTTATGATCATATGTTTGTCATAACATCCGTGTTGACTGATTCCTGTGATCAGGAGAAAAATCAAAACTCATTGTACTTATATGTAGCTATTATATTTTTAAGCAGTGGCGCTCTACTCAAGAAATCTATCATGTTCTCCCTAACAGAGGTTCTGCAAACCTTGCTGATTGTCACACAAATGAACATTGACTTGCTTCCTACTTGACAGATCTACCTGAATGGCCGCCTGTGTCTGCAGCCCTCTAGTCCCCACCTGGCAAAGTCTGTGATAGAGAACATCGACCACAGCCAGCACCAACACTTCTCCATGCAGACAGTCAGCAGCTCGGGGCAGACCTCCACGCTGGTGGAGACTCTGTACAAACCCACTGAACTGCCTCACATTGAGAGAAGCGAGAATGAGGCTGCCCCAGAGCCAGATCTGACCTCCATTTTGTCTGGTCGACATTATGACCAGGCACAGAAGAGGCTGGTAAGTAGTAGACCCCTTGTGTGAGCGGATTACTTTCTGGTAGACTTGGATGACTACTCAAAGACGTTTTTATTCTAATTGTATCAAGGTATAAAATAATTGTCTTTTATTGTTTAATAATAGACGTAATGTTTACCATTTGGAAACAGTTTGTTAAGAGCTAGTTTTTCAATATTTGAAAATGATGTCTTTTATTAAATTTTACTTCTATCTGAAATTATTTTCAAAATGAACTAAAACTGTATAACTATTTCTGCTGCTGATTTTCATTTACATACACAGAAATTCCAGAAAGATATTGGAGCTTGTGTTTGTAATTTTCTGTTATCTTTGTTTTTGCAGTTTATGGGCGTGTACGACTACGACCCCAGCCACCACTCCCCGCATGATAACACAGGGTATGAACTGGCGTTCAGGGCAGGAGATGTCATCGAAGTGTTCGGTCAGCTCCGTCCGGATGGCTTCTATCATGGCCAGGTAATGAAACATTCACTTCCAGTATCATACTTGAAATACAGTAACAACATCATTAGTTTTAATAAATATCTTTAAGCTTGAAATGGATCAATTTGTAATCTATTTTTGAATATTTGCTCAAAACAAAAATTGTTGGGAGTATTGGCTTGTATGGATGATTTATTAATTTAGTGCATCTCTGGTTTCAGTATGTGACATTTAGTATATGTTATATTTATGTTTTCACTCACCGTTGAGCTCATTGTTTATTTCAGATAAATCGCAAGAGAGGCCTTGTGCCAGCAAGTTTCATTGAAGAAGTCCCTCCTCCTTACAGACCGGTGAGTTACCTTCCTTTGAAAGGTTATTTAATAAGCTAAGTGACTGAAAGTTTTTTAGCTGTAGCAAAACACCAACTATGTCATGGACTGAAGGATCACACTGGACCAGGCATCATGTGATTGATGTGGTGAGCCGAGATTAGAGGTTATTTAGGATGCAGACATATGGTCTGGACAGATGAATGACATTTCTGGCCAGTGGAAGTAATCCTGTGTTCAGAGAAGTCAGTTTGTTCTGTAGTCTTGTTCATCCCATTATGTATTTACACAAGTGATCGTGTAGCATCAAGGTCAAGTTTAGCATCAAGGTCAAGTTCTCTCATGACAAATTGAATTATAGTTGCCTATGACTAAACAGGTCTGATCTGACAATTCAGCAATTAACGTCTTCAAGTGGAAATTTGTGTGATGAACAGCGGGATGAGTTCTATGGATATACAACTTCTTAATTATTAATATGAGCGACGTTTTGCTCACATGCTTGATAACGGTGTTAGTAGCTACACGGAAACATCACTCGTATTAATAATACAGAAGTTGTATATCCATAGAACTCTCCCGTTGTTTGGTCAGTTCAGCTAATGATATTGCCAGCAACGATCCACACCATCCAGGTACAACAGCACACAGACAACCAGGCAACCCAAATGTAATTGGTGCCTCTTTGGTGTCTGCGGATCTGTTTTGACATGATATCTCCACAGAGACATCAAGGTTGAAACTTTCTTTGTAGGCTCCACGTTACCTCCAGTTGGTTAAATAAGGCTACATTGAAGCAAATTTCTTTCTACGATCAATTTACCAGTTTTTTCTTTTTATTAAAAGAACTTGTTTGTTTTCAGGGGACCTCAAGTTCTTCCTCTAATCTTCACACTCCACGGTCGACCAACAGCACACTGCGACGCACACCTCGTTCATAACCTACACTTTTTCCCGTTGACATGACCTCACAAATTTGCTTTCATCACAAGCTTGCAGAAGGGCTTTTGCCATGTACAATACTTGCATAATTCACACCTTTCATTGCCAGCAATTTATTGGGACTGTTGATTGGTGCGTTTAACTTTAAATGATGATGCTATGGCAACTAGCAACAAGCTGTACTCTCATTGGACAGTTTCAGCTTTCTTATGGTTAAAGATGTCAGTGATTGGCTGAGAAGTTGCCTGTTTTGTGAGGTGTTTGTCGAGTGGCTGTTGATATTGGATACGCTAGTGAATGAAATCTCTGAAGCCAGTTTCACAGTATTGATATAATATTGATACAAGGGTAATTAATGATGTCAGCATGTTTTTCTGTGTAAAACCAAAAGCTCCACTTCCAAAAGATGATTCCATTGTGTGACTCCTTGCAAGTTGTTTATTACTGACAAGGTGCGATTTCAACTCTCTAAATATCTTGATCTTCCACCAAACATGAATGTTATGAAAATGGCAGCATTAGCAAAATAGCAGTTTGAACTCTCGATGCTGGGGGTCAGCACCGTTTTGTTCTTCAGTACAAAATTGTCAAAGTATTGTGCCAAGTTGTGCCAACATTATTTTGGTTAAGTACTTCCTACATTTACCGATCTTGTTTCCTTGCACCATGCAAGACAAATGTTGATATTATGTCTTCTATTCTGATATATGACTGTTATGTTCAGACAGTAATTAACACGCCAGTAGGAAAACTTCACGACATTGTGTGCCATTAACTCAGCTTTGCTAATCTGTATCCTACTCATTTGTTAATATGAATTTATTTATTGAAACAGAATTCCAGTGAAATGTTGTTAAAAAATGGCTGTTAACAGTTGTAGATAAATATATCGTTGATATATTGCAGTTAATCTGTTTTTGTTTCAAATTCCATTGTACATTACTAGGATTTTTGTGGACCATATTTTGTTGTGATTTTGAAATATCTATTCAACAATCTAATAATCAAATATAAAATTCCAATTTGATATTCTTCAGCATTAACTGTTTGTATTTGTTGAAATCAGTGGATATGTCAATATCTTAGTTCAGTTATCCAAAATGTTCCTTTCATCCTCAATTAACTATATATTAAAGTTCGACTTAGTCAAAAATGTGCATGGGTTTCATGTAATGTTTGTGTTGATACAAATGTTATGCTTTGATTTTTAAATGAATGGTTTAATTACAAATGTGCATATAACATTACTTGAGTTCATCTCTATCCTGAAAGCTGTTTATGGAATGTTGTAAACATTCAGTGTTAGCAGCTAATGTGTACAAAATAATCAAACACTGAGTTAAGTCATTGTATAGTTGTACAGGGTTGGTAGGAGAATAGTATCCTACTGAATGACCTCAAATATTAGAAGTCAGGTCCCGGAAGGAAACAGTATCCCATCTGCATGTTGACAGATGGATGGTCCCACGATTTTGACATGTTTATAATCACACTGTAATATACGGTTTGTATTTTGTTGATGATGTTATTATGAATGCAGTTGAACTATGCAAAATAATTAGAGGCAATATGTATGTACTTATTTTTAATACAATGCTCATACAAAATTAAAAACAATGTAAACATTATGATCTTGTGTTTTGTTGTGATATAAAGAACCGTTGTACATGGGATCTTGGCGCTAAGGTGACGGTAACTCCCATTTGACTGCTGACTTGTGACAGTTCTGTACAAGGTGATGGTAACTCCCATTTGACTGCTGACTTGTGACAGTTCTGTACAAGTTGATGGTAACTCCCATTTGACTGCTGACTTGTGACAGTTCTGTACAAGGTGACCGTAACTCCCATTTGACTGCTGAATTGTGACAGTTCTGTACAACGGAACCTAACTAACTAGGGTGAAGCTCCTATAACAACAGACGTTTGAACGCAAGTACAATGAATTTTAGTATTGAAGAAGCAGCAGTGACATGTCTTGGATATAAAGAGTTGAAATACTGTACTGGTGAAACAGGGTACTGAACTATAGGATGTTTCAGTATATTAATGCAACAGTGATAGAGTTCTTGGATAAAATAAAATGAAACAGTCGTAGTACAGCATTTAAAAGATTTTCAAATTTAAATTTAGCAGCGCTGGATTTCCAGGGTATATAGAAGTGGGACACTGTCTCAGATGTCCGCTTCAGTTCTCGGCACAGCGGACCATCACCTTGACGGCTACCCCGCTCGCCGTTGTCTGCAGGGCTTCAAGAGTCTTCTCCAGTGGGAATCGGTGGGTGATGAGAGGCTTTACGTTCACCTTCCCACTGGCAACCAGAGACACCGCAGTAGAGAAACTAAAACATGAAAGAAAGGGTGACATAGAAACAACTGATTCATGCATACGTGTAGGTTCAGTTAATATTCGTTGGTTACATTTACATGCAAATGGCATTATATCCAGCTTGGCATTATAACCTGGGTATTACAAGGACAGGGAATCCGTTCTGGCCAAAACATGGCATTAAATCGAGGGTGGCATTATAACCAGGGTGCACTGTACATGGGCAGGTTCATTCAATATGAATTACATGTGTATGTTTAAACACTCTTCTGTCATCACGTGTACATGTGTAGGTTAATACACCATGCTTTGATCACATTAATCGTGTAGGTGTAAAGAAGACACTTTGATTACAAATACCTGCGTAGCTTCATACATTATTCTTTACGTTTACACGTGTGGGGTCATAAAATACGTATAGAAAGATTTGGACCAGACAATCCGGTGATTATTATCATGGGCAATGTTCAACGTCCGTGTAGGCGGATTGGCTTGTCCAGAGTCGGACCAAACGATCCAGTTCGACGCCTCTTATAACAAGCATAGTTTGTTGGGGACCTACAGCAGCAATCTTTTATGTTATTGACTAATGTGTTTGTGTATTGTTTAGCGCCGCACTCAGCAATGTTCCAGCTATATGGCAGCGGTCTGTACATTATCGAGTCTGGATCAGACAATCCAGTGATCAACAGCATGCGCTTAGATTCATCCACTTGGGAACTGATGAAATGTGTCAACCAAAAGTCAGCAAGTCTGACCGCCCGATTCCGTTAGTCGCCTCAAGGTTGTTGGAGATCAGCTCTAACTCGGATCTTCATTAGTGTCCAACTCAAGTCCTACCCCATCCCTTTGTACACCTCATGACCACAGTTATTGTACGGTAAGCAGAACCACCCCCAGAGCACCTGTATATTGATGAATTGGCCTTACTCATCATGGCAGTATCTCAGGATTCCTCTGATGTCCACTTCCTTCATCGCAGCTGTGCCCAGGGGCACCTCCTGAACGAGGTCACCCATCCCAACCATGGTGACGTTGCCACCGCGTGTCGTCGCCTACGTAAACAGGGAGATGTGTAGCTGTTCTTAATGCGTTATTACTTTTACAACAAGGTCTCGACTAACAAGACAACAACAACGTCTTGACAGAACACATCTTCCATAACATGGCTTGGAATCAACGCTTGTTTACACAGATTAAGAAATGGGAATGTGTAGGAAAATGTGTAGGAATTTTTTATGTTATTAATAAAGTATTGAATTAAGAAGTTGAGCCGACAACCAGCGGATTGATTGAAAATCTGTTGGATGCAACATTCAGTGATATCGTATCATCCAGAAATAGGTGTCACACTAGGTTTAGTTCCGCGCTGCTTTTACAGTACATAACTTGCATAAACGCGTGCCAGGTTATCTTGGCAAGTCCGAAGTGATGGAAAGTTTCCCGCTTTGGCAGAGCTAAACATGATAGCTATAATGCTGACATACCTAACCCACAATCATGGCCATAAAGGATTCGAACCTGCAGTTGTAGGTTTTGGACACGCCTAAGGGATGCACCTCTGTATAGTGATTTGCGGTAGTGCTGACTGTTGATATTGACCATAGAGATCGATAATCGTAAACTAAATATAGATCGATTATCGATAAATACCCGAGAAGTAACGTGGAACAAAAATGTCAAAAATCAGCGTCCCGAACATAATGTAGCAGCTGCAATTAAATAAAGACGTAGCTTTGTGTATTGTGTGAGTACATTACAAATATACTTCATCACAGTGATTTAAATACTTTATAATCGATGACATGAATCATGAATAATTCTTCCCATCGATGATATTTCCGATTATCTATCTTTTCATCCAGTCCTAAATTGCGGCGCCTTAAATTTCAGTAATAAAACGCAAGAGTACTGAGACTATCACTCACATAGATGGCGGTGCTGACACAGGAGGGTACGCCAGTGCATTCCATGGAGACATCAGCTGGTCCTCCCAGAACATCTTCAATGGCGGCAGCAGCTTCCTTGGGGGACATACCCCTGACGTTCAAAGTATACGTCGCTCCAGCCTGCTTCGCAACCTTCAGCTTTTCATCGGCGATATCTAAACAGCGGAATAGAATTATATCAACATCTATATCGACATCATCATCATCATTATCATCATCATCATCACCATCACCATCACCACCATCGATCCGGGTTAGAATTGGTCATCAGCAACCCTTGCTGCCGTAAGAGGCGGGTGGTCGAGCTCGTTGACATGGTTGTAAAATGTAGATTGATGCACATGATGCTGATCACTGGATTGTCTGATCCTGACTCAATTATTTATAGACCGCCGTCATATAGCTTGGATATTGCTGAGTGCGGCGTTTAACTACATCACACCACCACAAACAACATGATCATCACCATGAGTAGTAGTGTTGACGATACATATAATCATGATTTTTAGCTTTCAGATGATTACTCCATTTTCCTATCAAGATTTCAGACTGACATTCAGCTATGTGATAAACTATTTTGTGTATTAGATACACATAAGTATCTACTGCACAGTTCTGTGTTGTCCAATCATGGAAAACGGTATTTCTGTCTGTCAGCCAACCGAAGTAAGTATTTGCTCTATGTATACTCTCCCAAAACTGAAAAGCATATAGGAATTTCGACTGTATTTTTATGTTTATTTTGAAACATCTTGTAGGCTTTATGAGTCAATGAAATATAGCGAAATTGCACACTAGGAATGCAGACTTATCCGTCTTTGGCACCAACTCGAGGAAAGTCAGTTTGAGTGTCACATGGAGACGTGTGGTGGCGCTGAAGTCAATACCTCGTGTGACCACCGTGGGCATCCAGAACTGCACGGCATCGCCTCGGCATCGAACGAATAAGTCTCAAAATCTCGTGTTGCCCAATCGCAGCCCACTCTGCCTGTAGTGCCTGTGGCGAGTTGCTGAAGTGTCTGGGGCTGAGGGTTACGGCGTCGCACCCGTCTGTCAAGGGCATCCCACAGATGTTCGATCGGGTTTAAGTCCGGTGATCTTGAGGGCCAGGGGAGCACATTGATGTTGTGGTTCTGGAGGAAGTCTGAGTGTGACATGCTGTGTGGGGGCCTGGCATTGTCCTGTTGAAACAACTCCCTTTGGCGATCAATGATTGGAAGGAGGTGTGGGCGTAGGATTTCGTCACAGTACTGTTGAGCTGTCAGGTTGCCCTGGATCATCACCAAATCACTTCTCCTACGGCAGGTGATCTCTCCCCACATCATAACACTGCCCCGGCCGAATCTGTCCACCTGGGGAAGGCAAGCGTCGGTGAAACGTTCACGTCGACGTCTGTACAGCCGCATTCTTCCATCGCGTCGTTCCAATAGAAATCGTGATTCATCACTGAACCAGATTCTACGCCAATTCGGTAGGTTCCAGGCCTGAACGTTGGTGCACCATTGAACACGATGTCGACGATGTTGTTGTCGAAGCACAGGGCCAAAATATGGTCTTCTGGCACGTAAACCAGCCTCTCTCAACCTGTTCCTGACGATCTGTGCAGAAAGCCTCCTCAATCCGGGTATTTGTCGAGCGGTACTGGTCGCCGTAGCTGTTCGATGACGCAGGCGATGTACCCGGATGTAGCGATCCTGCGCCGCAGTGGTCGCTCGAGGTCGCCCACTACGAGGGGCATCTGCTACCGAATTCTGCCGGCGATATCTCTCCCAGAGCCGTGAAATGGTGCTTTGTTGAACATTCATGCGTCGGGCAACTGCACGTGGAGACTGGCCAGCTTCAAGCAAACCGATGGCAATATGACGGTTGGCTTCACTTAGACGTGTCATTTTGCGTTCGTCAACAATATTCCAAATACAGTGAATAATCGACAGACAGCGATCAACCTTTTATACCAATTTCACGTGCATTGCATGTGAATTGTGTATTCTGTGACACTACACGCCTAAATTGAAAATCATGCTCTTAAATACGGATATTTTACGGATGGTGCGTTTTGTTGTGATGTTTCAAAACATAAACACCATAGGACTCATAAACAGAGCAAAACCTTTTGTACAATGAATCACGTTTTAATTCATTGCTTCATGAAATTGCTATTTTCATGATGCGTTTCTTTTTTGGGAGAGTATATTTTGTGACCCCGCCTGCAATGTCTCAGATGTATTACTCAGTAAACATATAAAGGCTTGTACAGTGTGATTCGGGTCGCTGAATAGGCAAATAATTAATATAGATTAGGCACAGATGAAGAAAGGTCTCCCAAGATAGTGAGCCAATCCACAACGCGATCTGAGCGCTAGAACGTTTCTAAGACAAAGTAAGGGAACTACCATCATCTTAAGAAGCGATGAGGTGGCTTTATGGAACAGGACTTTTAACCTGTACGACAAGGTATGCACAGGCGATTGGATTTAACGCCCAAATGAGCAATTTTCCACATATTGATGTCATAGAGCTGAGTGAGTGAGTATGGTTTTACGCCGCTTTTGGAAATATTCCATCAATATCACGGCGAGGACACCAGAAATGGACTTCACACATTGTATCCATGTGGGGAATCGAGCCAGGGCCTTCGGTGTGACTAGCGAACGCTTTAACCACTAGGCTACCCAACCCGCCCCCATAGAGTTAATGCTGAGGTGCGGCGTTACACAGCACACAAATCCAGCTGTAGCATCACGTCTAGACCATGTAAACCTGTCACACAACACACAAATCCAGCTGTAGCATCACGTCTAGACCATGCACACCTGTCACACAGCACACAAATCCAGCTGTAGCATCACGTCTAGACCATGTAAACCTGTCACCCAACACACAAATCCAGCTGTAGCATCACGTCTAGACCAGGTAAACCTGTCACACAACACACAAATCCAGCTGTAGCATCACGTCTAGACCAGGTAAACCTGTCACACAACACACAAATCCAGCTGTAGCATCACGTCTAGACCATGTAAACCTGTCACACAACACACAAATCCAGCTGTACAAGCATCACGTCTAGACCACGTCACCATTTACGACATGCATGAGGTAATCAGGTTCTATTCTGGTCTTATGTGGAATGCATGTGTTGCACACAACAAACTTGAGTAATCTGTCCCTATCTCACCTGTCACCAGAACTGTCGTGGCACCTCTCGCCAACACGGTCACCAGACACAGAAGTCCAATTGACCCTGAAATAAACAGTTTCAAATATACATTCTTGTGTACACTAAATACTAAAGGTGAATGTATCACGAAATCGGTCAGTAAAACAGCAACCACACTAGCGTCCTTGCAATATGCCATTTTTGTAATAATTGCCTTCGTAATTAACCGACGAAATGACCCAGTCCTCATAGCCACTCTCGGCTCATCTGACCATTCCTATACTCTCTGTTACCATGGACAACATACCCGACCCACACACCAGCACGGTGTCCCCCATATGAATCCTCACTGTTACCAGAGACAACATACCTGACCCACATACCAGCACGGTGTCCCCCATATGAATCCTCTCTGTTACCAGGCACAACATACCTGACCCACATACCAACACGGTGTCCCCCATATGGATCCTCTCTGTTACCAGGGACAACATACCTGACCCACATATCAGCACCGTGTCCCCCATATGGATCCTCTCTGTTACAAGGGACAACATACCTGACCCACATATCAGCACCGTGTCCCCCATATGGATCCTCTCTGTTACAAGGGACAACATACCTGACCCACATATCAGCACGGTGTCCCCCATATGGATCCTCTCTGTTACAAGGCACAACATACCTGACCCACATATCAGCACGGTGTCCCCCATCCCAATGTTGGCTCTCTTACAAGCATACACTGTCACAGCCAGGGGTTCAATGATTGCGCCCTCCTCATCGCTGATGTTGTCGGGCAGTCTGTGGAGAAACAGGGAATTATTGCACCAATACACCGATTCTCCCAAACACATATGTCTAAAATGACGTTACGTTAAGGTCATGAGTACTAGGAATGCCTTGACAACATGACGACATGTACGGACACAAGGCTTGACTACATGACGACATGTAGGGACACAAGGCTTGACAACATGACGACATGTAAGGACATAGGGCTTGACAACATGACGACATGTAAGGACATAGGGCTTCGACAACATGACGACATGTAAGGACACAAGGCTTGACAACATGTCGACATGTAAGGACATAGGGCTTGACAACATGTCGACATGTAAACCCATAGGGCTTGACAACATGACAACATGTAAGGACATAGGGCTTGACAACATGGCGACATGTAAGGACACAAGGCTTCCCAACATGACAACATGTAAGGACATAGGGCTTGACAACATGGCGACATGTAAGGACATAGGGCTTGACAACATGTCGACATGTAAGGACATAGGGCTTGACAACATGACGACATGTAAGGACACAGGGCTTGACAACATGGCGACATGTAAGGACATAGGGCTTGACAACATGGCGACATGTAAGGACACATGGCTTGACAACATGTCGACATGTAAGGACATAGGGCTTGACAACATGACGACATGTAAGGACACAAGACTTGACAACATGACGACATGTAAGGACACAAGACTTGACAACATGTCGACATGTAAGGACATAGGGCTTGACAACATGTCGACATGTAAACCCATAGGGCTTGACAACATGACAACATGTAAGGACATAGGGCTTCACAACATGGCGACATGTAAGGACACAAGGCTTCCCAACATGACAACATGTAAGGACATAGGGCTTGACAACATGACACATAAGGCCATAGGGCTTGACAACATGGCGACATGTAAGGACACAGGACTTGACAACATGTCGACATGTAAGGACACAAGGCTTGACAACATGTCGACATGTAAGGACATAGGGCTTGACAACATGTCGACATGTAAGGACATAGGGCTTGACAACATGACATATAAGGACACAAGACTTGACAACATGGCGACATGTAAGGACACAAGGCTTGACAACATGGCGACATGTAAGGACATAGGGCTTGACAACATGACAACATGTAAGGACATAGGGCTTGACAACATGGCGACATGTAAGGACATAGGGCTTGACAACATGGCGACATGTAAGGACACAAGGCTTCCCAACATGACGACATGTAAGGACACAGGGCTTGATAACATGACGACATGTAAGGACACAGGGCTTGACAACATGTCGACATGTAAGGACACAAGGCTTGACAACATGTCGACATGTAAGGACATAGGGCTTGACAACATGTCGACACATGTATGGACATAGGGCTTGACAACATGACATATAAGGACACAAGACTTGACAACATGGCGACATGTAAGGACACAAGGCTTGACAACATGGCGACATGTAAGGACATAGGAACTTGACAACATGACGACATGTATAGGACCTGAAAGCTTGACAACATGGCGACATGTAAGGACATAGGGCTTGACAACATGACAACATGTAAGGACATAGGGCTTGACAACATGGCGACATGTAAGGACATAGGGCTTGACAACATGGCGACATGTAAGGACACAAGGCTTCCCAACATGACGACATGTAAGGACACAGGGCTTGATAACATGACGACATGTAAGGACACAGGGCTTGACAACATGTCGACATGTAAGGACATAGGGCTTCACAACATGACGACATGTAAGGACACAAGGCTTGACAACATGGCAACATGTAAGGACACAAGGCTTGACAACATGGCGACATGTAAGGACACAAGGCTTGATAACATGACGACATGTAAGGACACAAGGCTTGACAACATGTCGACATGTAAGGACATAGGGCTTGACAACATGTCGACATGTAAGGACATAGGGCTTGACAACATGACGACATGTAAGGACACAAGGCTTGACAACATGGCAACATGTAAGGACACAAGGCTTGACAACATGTCCACATGTAAGGACATAGGGCTTGGCAACATGGCGACATGTAAGGACATAGGGCTTGACAACATGACGACATGTAAGGACATAGGGCTTGACAACATGGCGACATGTAAGGACATAGGGCTTGAGAACATGTCGACATGTAAGGACATAGGGCTTGACAACATGACGACATGTAAGGACACAAGGCTTCACAACATGACGACATGTAAGGACACAAGGCTTGACAACATGACGACACATAAGGACATAGGGCTTGACAACATGACGACATGTAAGGACACAAGGCTTGACAACATGACGACACATAAGGACATAGGGCTTGACAACATGACACATAAGGCCATAGGGCTTGGCAACATGTCGACATGTACGGACACAGGGCTTGACAACATGACGACATGTAAGGACATAGGGCTTGGCAACATGGCGACATGTAAGGACATAGGGCTTGACAACATGACAACATGTAAGGACATAGGGCTTGACAACATGGCGACATGTAAGGACATAGGGCTTGACAACATGACGACATGTAAGGACACAAGGCTTCACAACATGACGACATGTAAGGACACAAGGCTTGACAACATGACGACACATAAGGACATAGGGCTTCACAACATGACAACATGTAAGGACACAAGGCTTGACAACATGACGACACATAAGGACATAGGGCTTGACAACATGACACATAAGGCCATAGGGCTTGACAACATGTCGACATGTACGGACACAGGGCTTGACAACATGACGACATGTAAGGACACAGGACTTGACAACATGACAACATGGGGGGACTCACTTGAAGCAGAGGTCCGCCCCGTGTATTGCGTATCGGGTGAGATTGCCGCAGTACTTGGGGATTATCACCTGCATGACCGGACACAGGTTGTAGCGGCCGGCCTTGCACTTCTTGCACTGGAAACACGGGCCACCAGGCTCTGTCGCCACACGGTCACCTGGAGAACACATGTGTGTGTGGGTGAGTGGGTAAATGGGTTTTGGGGTGGGTGAGTTGGTGAAGTTGTCGAACGAAGTTCGGCGCAAAACGTTTGTGTCGACGTCGGTAGACACGTTGTCTCCCATCCCGTCATTGCATTGGAAAAACGTGATTCACCGCTGAACCAAACGCGTCGCCAGTTCTCAGGGTACACGCCTGTACCCTGTTGCACAATTGGACACGTCGTTGTCGGTGTAGTCGTGTCAGGACAGGTCCAACTTTTGGTCGATATGCTCGAATTCCCACCTCTCTCAGACGATTTCTGATGGTTTGATCGGAAATTCTTGGAAGACCAGGTATCTGTCTTGCTGTGTCAGTTGCTGTAGCAAATCGGTGACGTAGGAGAAACACCCGGATGAATCGGTCCTGAACAGGAGTGGTCACTCTTGGTCTTCCACTTTTTGGTACGATCGTGAAGCGGGTACATCGATGCCATAATCGAGATATGGTGCTGTGGTGGACGTTGAAAATGTCTTGCAAAGGCGGACTGGGACTCCCTGCTTCCAAAGGTCCAATGGCGATATTTCGGTCAGTAACATTCAATCTGGGCATTTTTTGATCATCGTTTACGTCATAAATTTCGTAATGAAACTATTAATTTGGTTTGACTTTTTATAGTCGATGTCTCTACTCATGTTGCACGTCCATTACGTTGAAAACGTTTTCTGCATGCACTTTTCATGTACCGTTTTCATTTTTACATGACAAACGTTTACAACACCTGTGCGTTTCTGTTTTTGAAGAGTGTATTATGCCACATCAACACGGTCAATGAACGTATTTTTTTATGTTTTGTCACATATATTTGAACATATTTCAAAACAATTTTTGTAAAAGTCGAAACACCCAGCAGTATTCTAGCTATATGACGGCCATATGAAATTACTCGAGTCTGGACCACAAAATCCAGTGATTGACATCCACGTGCACAGCATCGATCAACGCAGCCGACATATCCGATCAAGAGAGTCGTTTTTCCCGAAAAGCATGGTTTACTTACGACAACTTCAATCCCAGAATCGATCACAACAAGCTGATGAGAAATGTTAGAATTGACAGATATACAATATTTCCAGTGTGTGTACTGTTTCAAGGTACTTGTGAGCGCAAACGCACTGTTTGCTAAGGATTGAGGGTTGGGACACCAAGAATGGGCTTTGTACATTGTACCCTTGTGAAGAGCCCTATAAGGGCCTGCTGTGTTTGGAACATTTCGTTGTTAATTTGGCTTGACGGTAAGTTAGAGTCGGTTTGCAGGGAAAACGTACCTATGAATTTCACCTTAAACAAAAAAGTAAATCAAATAAAGTGAAATTAAGATTGCGAATCCTCATAACTTTACTTGTCAACTGAAAATTTAAATCCCAGAATTTTATTCAACTTAGGATAAAAGTTGTTTAACAAACGATCATAGTTTCAAATCGCTATTATTGGTTTGTATTACAATGGGGGGTATGCACATTAAAAGAAACCCCGAGAACAAGAAGGGTTGGTCTCTACGGTAGTCTAGGTTAACGGTCATCACGCACACTACTGCGCGTACCCCCTTGTAATATACTGAGTCAAAAAAGAAACTTCGCATTCTTTCTTCAGGGCACTATAAAAGAACAAGAGATGGTAAGATGGTTAAATTGTTATTATTTCATTGCTGAGATCTGTGTGATGTACTCGATACACTGACAGTGCCATAATCAGTTCCATTAGGCTACACCGCCGTTCCAAAACATGGGTATACAGAATGTCAAGTCACAAGAATAAAAATGCGAAATTTCTCAGTTCAATATCGTGTATGACCGCCCCGCGCATTCACCACTGCCAAACACCGTCTCCTCATCGACTGCCTGATGCTTGTGAACACGTGGTTGGGGATTCTGCGCTATTGCTCTTGCAAGGCAGCGCCAAGTTCCTGCAAATTCTGAGGTTGGTTCCTAAGACCACGAAGCCTTCTCCCAAGTGCATCCCAAACGTGCTCTATTGGATTAAGGTCAGGGGACCTCGATGGCCAGTCCATGACGTTAATTCGAGCGTTTTGAAGGAAATTTCGTGTCAACATCGCGGTATGCGGCCGAGCATTATCATGCTGGAACTGTAGACCTGGGCCATGAGCCGCCATGAAAGGAACGAGTTCAGGGATGAGCACCTGGTCGCGGTAAGCAGCAGCTGTGAGGTTTCCACGGATGACCAGAAGTCGGGAACGGTTGTTCCCACAGAAAGCACCCCACACCATGCAACTTCCGCCCCCAAATCTGTCGACTTCCTGTACACAACATTGGGCATACCGTTCACGTCGTCGTCTCCAGACTCTATGCCTGCCGTCCGCGAATCTGAGGGGAAACCTGGATTCATCGCTAAAGACGACTCGATTCCAGTCTCTCTGGGTCCATCGAAGGTGACGTTGGGCCCACAGCAGACGTTGACGTTGATGAAACGGCGTCAATATTGGCCCACGATATGGACGTCGAGAATGGAGATTGGCAGCCCGCAACCGATTTCGAATGGTCTGTGAGGACAGTCGACCTCTAAACATCTCAGCCCTGGTTCGTGTAGCCGGCAGAAATCTGTCACGTAAGGTGACGTAGGACGATTTGACGGTCTTCTGCTCGTGACGTCACACGTGGACGACCCGACCTTGGGCGATCAGAAGTGGTGCCAGTTTGTTGTAGACGACCTCGCAAGTCATACACAGTACGACGGCTGCATCCCATTGCTCTTGCGACGTCAATAACTGATCTTCCCCTTGCAACATGCCAACGGCACGTTGCACATTTGACAATCGCGGCATTTCAAGTACCGTTAGAACTGTGGTCTAAAAGTGTTTTTTTCAGTTCTTGAGGCCAATGCAAACACGTGCATATGAAGAAAACTTCGATGCGAAGATCACGTGATCGACTGCACGTGCAAAACCTGATTTGGCACTAACGTCATTTGCACGACGAATGGATGGGTTTGAGTGGGTTTTGCTAACGTTTTTCCAGAGTCGAAAGATAGGGATCCCATTTCGGATACATTGATGTATCATCAGAGAAAAATTATTCATTATTTTCAAATTACATTTTGTGAAGTTTCTTTTTTGACTCAGTATACAAACCAACAATAGCCATTTGAAACTATGATCGTTTGTTAACCAACTTTTATCCAAAGCTGAATAAAATTATGAGATATAAATGTTCAATTGGCATGGTGCAAGTATGAGGATTCGCAATCTTAATTTCACTTTATTTGATTTACTTCCTTGTTTAAAGTCAAACTCATCAGTACGTTTTCACTGCAAACAGACTATAGGAGCGCACCAAAGCAATACCGAGGGCCGTATCAATATCAACACCATTGAGTTGACCTTGACCTTTAACGCGCTTACCAATCTAGAAATTTTAAGATTTGCGTTAGATAATCAGAGTTGGGGCACTGGTTGTAGCTTGCCTCAACAGAGGTCTCGTCTTGACCGACTTCTGCTTCACATTCCAGGTGATCCATGGTGTTATCTCCCCTTGACACAGATAGGGAAAGCGGGTAAGCCACAGGGGTCTAGAAGACCTAAAGTTACAGTGACCGAAATATGTCACAATAAACTACCCATTTGCATACAAACTGGTGACGGGACGATGGAGTAGCCTAATGGTTGTATTTGGAGATAATCATCGATCAATACACATGGGCTGGCAGACCTTAGAGTTAGTGGCCGAGTTATGTTGAATTCAATTTTTCACAGTATACCTGCGTTATTACAACTAGTTAACACCTTGACTGAATGTGTTTTCTGAAAATATCATATATGAATATCATTCCTTCAAATGATGTATTGCAATGATATGGTACAGTGAACACCGTTGCCTCGAACTTTAATGCCGAACTCTTGGTTTACTTGAAGTTAAAGATTCCTTATTCTAAACTTAATCATAGTTTGTGCGTCAAACCTGGGATTATCATTTGAAGTATTTACATAGATCCCTTCAACTTCGTCTCAACGGTTTTTTAATGTAAATTGTGAACTTAACTTCCGGTAGGCATTCAGAGACAAAGCCAAGGCATATCTTACCCACTTTGAGATGAGTGACCCCCTCGCCCACCTTGGTGATCACGGAGCTGGACTCGTGGCCCATAACGATCCGATCTGTGAGAGGCATCCCTCCAAAACCTCCATGCTTCCAGATGTGAACATCAGTACCGCAGATACCACAGTTCAGCAGCTTCAATTGGACCTCTGTGAGTGAGTGAATGAGTGAGTGAGTGAGTGAGTGTGTGGATACGGATGTGTGACAATAATCACGTCATGTTTGTTTGTTTGTTGTTTAACGCCGCAAACAGCAATATTCCAACTATATGGCAGCGGTCTGTAAATAATTGAGTCTGGACCAGACAATCCAGTGATCAGCAGCATGAACATCGATCTATCCAAGTGGGATACGATGACATGTGCCAACTAAGTCAGCGAGCCTGACCACCCGATGCCGTTAGTCGCTTCTTACGACTAGTATGGCTTACTGAAGACAATAACTCTCTTTCGTGTTAATGATAGGCAATCAGCCTGTAAGATTGGTCACATTGTAATGATGAATTGTCATTTGAAATGTAAATTCAGTGCACAGATATAATGTAGAGTTTATATTTAAAGCAATTTTAGCGAAACCCCTTTACCCTGTTGGTGTAGATATCATATTTCAATACTTACATATATGAATATTAATGAAGTGACTGTCACTTAACTTTTCTATATTTAAAAAATATCACTCAAGAACTGGTTTCAGACATGATCAACTTAAGAACAGATTGAAATGAATGAATTATACCGGCAGTTTGGCAGAGGTTACAGAATTTAAATATCGATGAAAGCGATTTAAACACACACAAATTCCTTATCTCTGAACATTATGCTTTTGGCCTGAGAACTCTCACATTGAGAGGGTGACAATGAATAATATTGGGTCAACTGACGGGTCGGCCGGAATAAAATAAAAATGCTTTAAATTCTAAATGATTTGGTAGGTCTACCTTGCCTCACCTGAAATCAAAAATTGCGCTGGGCTGTTCCTTTAGGATTCTATTTAGATATACATCTTTAAATATGAAAACTATATTTCTGGGACTAAGTGTCAGTCTGACCCAGACGTGTCAGATTACGTCATCGTGTTCCACGTGGACTGTGGCACATGACAGCAATAATAATTAGTGTCTGGCCTTGACCCAGGAACTTTCTGAAGCAACTTAACAGCACGGACATAACACAATGTAGCATTCAGGCACACGTTTACTGTATGTATAATTAAAGGGGGAAAAAGCTTTATTGTTTTGTTGTTTAACGCTGCACTCACCTATATGGCAGCGGTCTGTAAGTATTCGAGTCGGGATTAGACAATCATTTGATCAACAGCATGAGTTTACGCAATTTGGATACGATGACATGTGTCAACCAAGTAGGTGAACCTGACCACTCGATCCCTTCAGTCGTAGCTAAAGACCAATTCTTACACAGATTTTCACGGGTGAGAGAAATATGTAAAACAGGTTCATGAACTCATGAAAGATGTTTTAATGTACAAAGAGGATTTGAGAAATGATTTTGAAACTTGTTTAGCATGGATTCAGGCATTGTGACCTTTGACATGTAGTGCATGTGTGAAATGTTCAATCTCCTGGCAGAGTCGGAATGCATTTCAGTTATATTGACTGTTCTAACTAGCTGTCATGAGCAGAAGACAAAGTAGGTTTCCACCCATAAGCCGAATGCAAAGTAGACCTTACATTGATAACCCGAATACAAAGTAGATCTTACATTGATAACTCGAATACAAAGTAGACCTTATATCCAAAACCCGAATACAAAGTACACCTTACATTGATAACTCGAATACAAAGTACACCCTACATCCATAATTCGAATACAAAGTAGACCTTACATCCATAATTCGAATACAAAGTACACCCTACATCCATAATTCGAATACAAAGTACACCTTACATCCATAATTCGAATACAAAGTACACCTTACATCCATAATTCGAATACAAAGTACACCTTACATCCATAATTCGAATACAAAGTACACCCTACATCTACTCGAATACCAAGTACATGTACGTCCGTGTGCGCATGTGTACGTGAGTACTTGCGTTTGTGCGTGTGCGTAGATCTTACCTCCATATTTCGGCTCCGGGATAGGAGCATCAATCTGTGACGAAAACACAAAGACAGGTGCATTACCAAGAATTCTTAAGGGGGACGGTGGGAGTAGTGTTAGTGGTTTAAGCATTCGCTCTTCACGCTGAAGGCCCGGGTTGGATTCCCCACATGGCGTACAATGTGTGAAGCCCTTTTCTGGTGTCCCCCGCCGTGATATTGCTGCAATATTGCTAAAAGCGGCGTAAAACCCAATTCGCTGGCGAGCAATTCAGTTTTAAATATAATGATTGATGTAATGTAGCGGTTGACAGTAACAGGAAGAGATTGTTACATATATCATAGTGACAGCATACTTACCATGCGCAGATCATTTGCGCCATCCAAGACGGCGGTCAAGTTGCTTCCAGACTTCGCCATGTCGTTTTAGTTTGTGAAGCTGGGGGCTCGTAAAGCGGAGGTATTTTCTATGGCGACTTGATAGGGACACTACATACGTCGTGCAGTACCCGTTTTATCGGGTTGACGATAGCATTCAAACTGCTGTGAGGCAATTCACATGGTACGACTTGTCGTATACAACTTATCGCATGCAACACATCGCATCATACCAAACAGCAAGTTTACAAACCTTTCAGCGATCAGCTGTTGATGTAATGAGGATTTATGATGTTTAAATAGTATTTTTCAAAAACAAACCCCGTCATATGTCGTCAGCTGAACAGCTCCTAATCAGATCCCGGCATGAGATGACTTGTGAAGATCCGGGTTAGAATTGGTCTTCAGTAACCCATGCTTTTCGTAAGAGGCGACTAAAGGGATCGGGTGGTCAGGGTCGCTGAATTGGTTGACACATGTCATTGCATCCCAGTTACGTAGATTGATGTTCATGTTGTTGTTCACTGGATTGTCTGGCCCAAACTCGATTATTTACAGACCGCTGACTATTGCTGAGTGCGGCGTTAAACAAACCAACCTACCAACCAACCGTCATGAGATGAGATAAAGAACCAATTTGACAATCACCATGAAACAGCTTTCGTTAAGTACAGAGAATAATTCAAAACGTATTATAAACATCTTAACGAATTTCCGTTTCGAAGTCACCAGTGTAGTTATAGAAGATTAATTTCAAATGTTAATTTAATTTATTGGAACAAACTCGAAAGGTGTTTGTTTATTTGTTGTTTAACGCCGCGCTCAGCAATATTCATGTATATGGCGGACTCGAAAGGTAAGACAATTGACAATATTCAGCTACATCGACCTTCGGTTTCGTGAACTTCAGTCAAGATAAAGGTCTTGAACTTTGACCACGACACGGGACCAAAAGTCGGATAGTACACAGTAGGAAATACATGCTTTTAATAATAAAGTTAATATTTGTATTGCTAGAGTCTTGACTGCATCCTTACCAATATGCTTCTTGATCTGCTATGTCCGGATTTACGTATGTTTCCAGATATTTCCTAACTTAGGGCATATATTTCATACAAATCTACACCTTTGAAACATATGCTCATCGTACCTTTTAGTATGCACAAGTACCGCGTTAATGGATGCTATGACCGGATTGTCAGGTATTTCCAAAAGTGAATTGCAAAACAGATACCCCAATAATTATATCACCATACAGTATTTCGGATGCATTCCTGTGACTTTCAATGGGTGCTGACAATATTCAGCTACATCGACCTCGGGTTTCGTGAACTTCAGTCACGATAAAAGGCCTTGAACTTTGACCACGACAGCCCAGAAATTGCCGATTTCATGCCGTATTACAATACGGTACCACTGATGCAATAAGATTCATCGATAAAAATATAATTGTAATCGCAATTTCAATTCCTAAGTACTTCCTCAATGAAACTACAAACAAATAAAACATTTTTGTTTATAGTTAGATATAATTATTAATATCATCTCGATACTTGACAAGATAACCAGAATATACCCTGGTCTCCATGGCCCTATGTTTGTCGTTAGGCGACATCCAATCCCCAAAGCGTGGATCAGGATTTCATTGGTACGGATCCCATCACGTGACTCTGATACTTTTTTAACATCCAAGGGGTAAACAAAACGCCTTTGAACAGCTGCCCAGTCGAATATATTGGCGCTATACAAATATAGATAAATATTATTAAACTTGAGCAAAATCGGCCTCAGTACATTACGAGACACCTCTGATGGGTATTTTGCGGTCGCAAACCAAAGTGCATGTATATGTACCCATGGACGATTCGGCTTTAAATGCATGTCTTTGCAAATGGTCTGTGAATGTCAAGTAGTAGAGATAGCAAACAAAATCGTGCATGGAATGACCTCAGTAAACAAAGAGCGTACTGTGTTAGACATGATTGAAGATAGAGTCATCCTACCGACATGTATAAGTAGAACAACGTGTAACAGAGATACATAACCTATGGAATCCTGGAAGGGACATTGTCGCGTTGCCGCCCTCTCAAATACAGGCAAAATTAGGCAAAACGCGACACGCGACATCGCGACAACGCGACATTTCGCCCATTTGTCGCATTGACGCGATGTCGCGTGTCGCGTTTTAATGAATTTTTTTTTCATTCCTTTAAAGGGCGACATATCGACAATTTTCAAAGAAAATATGTCGCATTGTCGCGACAACGCGTTTTATAATTTTGACCTTTACAAATCTGTCGATATGGGTGACGTGCGACAACGCGACATATTTTGAAAAATATTATCGCTATATCGCGTGTCTCCCGAAAATGGAGGAATAGAAAATGTCGCGTTGTCGCGACACGCGAAATCGCGACAATGCGACAAATGGGCGAAATGTCGCGTTGTCGCGATGTCGCGTGTCGCATAACCCGATATATAGTCAGTTACAACAACAGAGATACATAACCCGATATATAGTCAGTTACAACAACAGAGATACATAACCCGATATATAGTCAGTTACAACAACAGAGATACATAACCCGATATATAGTCAGTTACAACAACAGAGATACATAACCCGATATATAGTCAGTTACAACAACAGAGATACATAACCCGATATATAGTCAGTTACAACAACAGAGATACATAACCCGATATATAGTCAGTTACAACAACAGAGATACATAACCCGATATATAGTCAGTTACAACAACAGAGATACATAACCCGATATATAGTCAGTTACAACAACAGAGATACATAACCCGATATATAGTCAGTTACAACAACAGAGATACATAACCCGATATATAGTCAGTTACAACAACAGAGATACATAACCCGATATATAGTCAGTTACAACAACAGAGAGATACATAACCCGATATATAGTCAGTTACAACAACAGAGATACATAACCCGATATATAGTCAGTTACAACAACAGAGATACATAACCCGATATATAGTCAGTTACAACAACAGAGATACATAACCCGATATATAGTCAGTTACAACAACAGAGATACATAACCCGATATATAGTCAGTTACAACAACAGAGATACATAACCCGATATATAGTCAGTTACAACAGAGATACATAACCCGATATATAGTCAGTTACAACAACAGAGATACATAACCCGATATATAGTCAGTTACAACAACAGAGATACATAACCCGATATATAGTCAGTTACAAACAGACAGAGATACATAACCCGATATATAGTCAGTTACAACAACAACAGAGATACATAACCCGATATATAGTCAGTTACAACAACAGAGATACATAACCCGATATATAGTCAGTTACAACAACAGAGATACATAACCCGATATATAGTCAGTTACAACAACAGAGATATACAAACCCGATATATAGTCAGTTACAACAACAGAGATACATAACCCGATATATAGTCAGTTACAACAACAGAGATACATAACCCGATATATAGTCAGTTACAACAACAGAGATACATAACCCGATATATAGTCAGTTACAACAACAGAGATACATAACCCGATATATAGTCAGTTACAACAACAGAGATACATAACCCGATATATAGTCAGTTACAACAACAGAGATACATAACCCGATATATAGTCAGTTACAACAACAGAGATACATAACCCGATATATAGTCAGTTACAACAACAGAGATACATAACCCGATATATAGTCAGTTACAACAACAGAGATACATAACCCGATATATAGTCAGTTACAACAACAGAGATACATAACCCGATATATAGTCAGTTACAACAACAGAGATACATAACCCGATATATAGTCAGTTACAACAACAGAGATACATAACCCGATATATAGTCAGTTACAACAACAGAGATACAACAGAGATAACCCGATATATAGTCAGTTACAACAACAGAGATACATAACCCGATATATAGTCAGTTACAACAACAGAGATACATAACCCGATATATAGTCAGTTACAACAACAGAGATACATAACCCGATATATAGTCAGTTACAACAACAGAGATACATAACCCGATATATAGTCAGTTACAACAACAGAGATACATAACCCGATATATAGTCAGTTACAACAACAGAGATACATAACCCGATATATAGTCAGTTACAACAACAGAGATACATAACCCGATATATAGTCAGTTACAACAACAGAGATACATAACCCGATATATAGTCAGTTACAACAACAGAGATACATAACCCGATATATAGTCAGTTACAACAACAGAGATACATAACCCGATATATAGTCAGTTACAACAGACACACACAACCCGATATATAGTCAGTTACAACAACAGAGATACATAACCCGATATATATATAGTCAGTTACAACAACAGAGATACATAACCCGATATATAGTCAGTTACAACAACAGAGATACATAACCCGATATATAGTCAGTTACAACAACAGAGATACATAACCCGATATATAGTCAGTTACAACAACAGAGATACATAACCCGATATATAGTCAGTTACAACAACAGAGATACATAACCCGATATATAGTCAGTTACAACAACAGAGATACATAACCCGATATATCAGTCAGTTACAACAACAGAGATACATAACCCGATATATATATAGTCAGTTACAACAACAGAGATACATAACCCGATATATAGTCAGTTACAACAACAGAGATACATAACCCGATATATAGTCAGTTACAACAACAGAGATACATAACCCGATATATAGTCAGTTACAAATAACAACAGATACATAACCCGATATATAGTCAGTTACAACAACAGAGATACATAACCCGATATATAGTCAGTTACAACAACAGAGATACATAACCCGATATATAGTCAGTTACAACAACAGAGATACATAACCCGATATATAGTCAGTTACAACAACAGAGATACATAACCCGATATATAGTCAGTTATATAACAACAGAGATACATAACCCGATATATAGTCAGTTACAACAACAGAGATACATAACCCGATATATAGTCAGTTACAACAACAGAGATACATAACCCGATATATAGTCAGTTACAACAACAGAGATACATAACCCGATATATAGTCAGTTACAACAA